ACTTGTTATAAAAATTAGGAAGATGTGATTATAAGAACGAATAAATTGAATTTTAACAAATTATGTCACTACTCACGAATATGATACAACTATAATACACCACTCAGTGGATGCTCAAAAGTTATTAGAAATGAAACGAGTTACTTAATATTATTAAGTAGTATAAAGTAATATACAAAAGGAAGAGGGCTAAGAGGAATGAAAATGAACCTAAACACTAAAACCTATGGTTATGAACTTGTACATATGTTCACTTGGTATTGTTTGGCTTGTATCTCTCCATTGCACAAGCAAGTGGTCATCAGGACTCGATAGCTGAGTGGATAACGCAATGGCATTTGAGGCGAATGGTACTGGGTTCGAGTCTCAGAGTGAACATCAACTCTGAGATGCAGGTGCATCCAACTGAAGAGTCCCAAATAGGACAAAACGCACATCCTGGATTCCACTGCTAGCCACTATCCAACAGTGCTTACAAAAATTGTACATATGTCATTTACTATTGTAACGATTGTTTTTTATCGTTAAATTTTGGCTTAGTTTTGTATAAGTTTGGTGATTTATATGATGTAGAGTAGAACCTTGTAGAACTATTTCATGCTGAGGATTCTTTATTGCATTTTACATAGTTTATGATCTCATATTCGGTAACCAAATTTAATCTTGACTGTATTTTCATGAAAAAAGAGAATGTTTTCCTATTTTCAGTAGGTTTCTTTTAATACAACAGTTATGTGCGTATAATGAGAGGAAAAAGTTATTTTCACGCGGAATAAATCAACAACTGAAAATATTCGTAAGTTAAATTGTTCTACTCATTTATTAGTTAGTAGTATGATGACTACTGAGAAAATAAAAACTTTGTTCATTACGGTCAAGTGTTACAATAACTTTTTCACAGAAATAGTTGTACAATATTGTAATTAATTTATCTTTAACATGCATCCAAATTATAATTATAAGCAGAGATGAGTTTTGTGGATATCATAGTGGTCTAATAGTTGAATTCACGGGTCAATTGAAGCTAGACCACCATAGAAAACGTGGAAACACTGGACGTTGTTTCGTCCTATCTGGGACTGCTCAGCAGTGAGCATTTACGATCCCGCACGCGCCATTCAAACCCAGCATCTTCGGTCTTACTCGCGAACACCTAACCTCTAGACCACTAACCCGTCATCCAATGGTATTAATGTTTAATCTCAACCAATTCAAATAAATTCATTGTCATATTGTTTAAATTATTAACAAGTAATTAGTCAAATATCTTGACTACTGATATTTAACTGTTAATGCCTCTAGATATTTTGTTATAAAGTCTAACATATACTAAGTTTTTACACTATACGGAAGATTGTTATTTTCTGTACCTTAACAATAATAATCATGTAAATTACTTAACTACTAGTAACAAATAATTAAATACCTTCGTGTACAAGACAGTAGTTATCTGGACTCAATAACTAAGTGGATAACGCATTAAACATTTAAAGTCAAGAGATTAGGTTCAAGGTCCAATATGATGAATCAACACTGAAGTGTGGTCACATCAAAATAACAAGTTTCAAATAGGATGAAACGAGCATCTTGAATTTTCCTGTTAGATATTATACAACTCTGCTTGCAAATGAATAAGAATATTGAGACAATCTGCACAAGATGTGTACATAACTTGATGCTAAAGAAAAAAACTCTGTATAAAAATATAAATACAGTATCAGAAAAACCCAGTTGGTAAGGTTGATCTAATCCATGAATTTCTTAAAGTTATTCAACTCTTAATCCGTAATCTTAAGAAGCCAACTTGAAACACACCTGATATTCCACGTTACTTGAGATCGCATGAATTATGTTTGAATGTTCATTAGTTGGAGTCAGTCGGTCGAAAGCTATGCTTGACCTTAGTTGTATGCTAATTAGCGCCAATCAACCAGATGTATCTGGTGTCTTGAAAGAACTACTAGTTCCAATGGGATTCGGACAGGAATAGCACAATGTTAAAGTCACAGACTATCTACTTAAGTAACATTATATGGTGTTTGAATAGGAAAATCGTTTCCCCCAAGATTCTAGGTACGCCTTATTGATGATAGCCAACTAGAACGAAAGTATGACCTAAGACTTGCTAATGTTTACCTCAGACCACTTAACAGAAATGGTTAATTTCATTGATCATTCATTCATCATGCAAATTCATTAGATTAACCACATCACTATTTTATACTCAACACTGACACTTACTGTAGTGAAATTTGTATTACTGAGTAAATCATGTGATAAGTGTTACCTTAATCAGCTAATGAATATGTAAAGTATCGTGAAGTGATTGTACTGATAAATTGGTCACTGTATAATCAAAAAATTCTCAATTCAATCCATTCTGCTAGCATAAATGTGCAGTAATCAAAATAAGACCATTGTTAAATACTCTCTGTTTTTCACTGATTGTCTAGCTACAATCGGTAATAATATAAAGCACAAATAACCATTGATAATTTATCACGTCCAAATACCAAATTTCATCTCTCTTTTCACAATTTCAATTGTTTTAAAATATTAGTCAAATTTTTGTTAGTTTTTAATAGTTTAATTGATGGGTCGATGACCGTTTCTTTGCAGTATAAGATTCCTCATCAGTACACATCCATAATCACGCACATGGGACTCGAATTCAAAATTTTCAGTCTCGTGGTCGAACGCTTAAACTCTAATTTGTTTATTCGTAATCAATAGTTCTACAATGATTTTTCTTTCCTTACATAAAATGCACATATCTAATTGAATTGTTGGCAAGACTATAATTTATGAATGAGCCTTGACTACATTTGAAGTGAGCTTGATAAATATTAGCCAATCGGAAAACAGTTTGTATGGAGTAAAAGTATGTCACACAAAACCAAAGAATTAAAGTGGATACACTTCTTTTACATGGTTGAAGAATTTGTCAAGGTTAGTAAGAGGTTCAGAGGTTATAAAATCGTTATGCATACGGTAGAAGAAGTTATCCATATAACTTCATAATGGTAGGCCTCCTGAGCCATGATAAAGTCGCAAAAGCTCTTGTAGTGTCAGTTATTATGGCAAGCCCATCTACCTTATTCTATCTTGTGGACATCCTATTTAATTCATTTTACTTGAGTCATATTTTGACCTTGTTAATTATTCGCTTATTAGCCCTGACTGTTTTCATATGAGCGTATGTGTGTACATTTCATGTCCCGTGACTTATCACATGTCTGTCGTTTATTTTGTCCGCCTATAAATATTAAGTAATGCCTAGCTTGAAATGGAGTTGGCTTCCCAGCCATCTTCCCTGTGCGTCATTTTGTTTGGCTCTGTTTCATTCGCTCCATGTACGAAATATATGTATTGTCAAGTCAATTCTCGTTATTCGACTTATTTAATTCCGTTATTGGATAACGCGATCTAAGTCGACAATGATATACGAGAATAAGCGATTGCAAACATTCATTCATACAATCTGAAATGGAGTCAGACCACGGGCCTATACACTCTTTCAACCTCGACCAAACAGCTTCGACGTTGTTTGTATGTACTCCGGTTATTGAGTCCACAAAGTGTTGCTTATGAGCAATGATACGATACACATAACCAAGTCTATGCAGGAATCTGTAAGCTCTCCAATAAGTCGTAAATATTTTTAGTACCCGGCTGTAGCCAATGTTTTTATTATCCAGTTCGAAATTCGCCTTTGTCTCAATCTAGATCAAGTTAAAAAAATCTTATTCTAACAGACACATATTACCTCGAAAGTAAAACAACACCACGGCAGTCTACACAACCTCCATAAATCATTTGATTACCAAAATCCCAAATAAAAGAACACTTCTTAATAGTCCCATCTGTTGTAGCCACTTAATTATCAAGTTTTCTTAAAAAGAACCTTCTATGAATCAAACATACATGAGAGTATCAGGTATTAAAATTAGCGCTGTGACCTTGAAATCCCTTAAACATTTCTGATTGGCTCACTCACAAATGATAATGTCGTCGAATAGTTCATTTTCAAATATCAAGATTATTAATATTTCTTATCGGGATGAGATTACAATCTCTAAACGACCTTTAAATGATGCTAAAGTGACTTCAAGAATGGAAACCTACTGATTAGAATTAAATAAGGATTATGAATCAGTTAGAAATCTGACTTACAATTGATGATTAGGGTTTTTAAAAAAAAATCAGATTGAAGGTTTTCATCACAAACTAACATTGGCTATAATGCTATGGTCACTTGCTCATAAAAATGTAGTTTACAGCACAATAAACCTTTCTCCAGTAACATTACTCATTGACGATCTATTTGGAAAAAATAATCAACGGTGTGAATAAACTTACTCTGACTTGGAATATCATTCCAGCATGGAATATGAACGAACGGTGTAACACAGTCAGAATTGGAGAATAAGAAATTACAACCAGATCAAAATTCATATCATAATCTAGTTATTTAATAAATAAATAAAAATACATTATAACATGACAAATTGTATGATTACATGAACATAGACATGACTGGTATTACATTAAATTTAAGTGGAAACGTTGTGTACAAATCCACCCTTAAATATGGATGAATTACATGCCAAAAATTCATGATCTATTATCGTATATCTGATTGAATTCACTTGGTATTGTTTTTGGTTTGTATCTTCCCATTGAGATTTAAGACTGCAATCGATCAGTCTGTTATTGGCATATGTGCATACTGTGCGTATGCCTCGATATGACCTTAATTCACATCCAGCTGACTAGTTTCAAATAAGACGAAACGCGCTTCCTGGATTCCACTGCTAGCCACTATCCATCATTGCTTATATCTGATTGGTTCATTTATAAAATTATAATCTCGATTTGATTGGTTCATATTTATTACTCATCTCAATGTTCATTGGTTCATTGAAAACAATACAGCACAATAAAAAGAGTCATGTTACCATGTCAACTTATATTCATTATTATTATTATTAATCTAATAAATAACATTATGTTAATAAGATTATTAATTACAATTATTATTATTTCATTTATTTTATTATGTGCTATTCATCCATCTATATGGTTTATCATTAATCATCAATTATGTTTAAAAGAGAATACTCAATTATATAATCATTGGTTTAATTCATCTATACCAATTTATATACAATTTTATTTTTTTAATTTAACAAATCCATATGAATTTCAAAATGGTGCCAAACCTAAATTAAAACAATTAGGACCATATACATATAATATTAAATATTATAAATTTAATATACAACATAATTATAATAATAATACAATTAAATATCAACAATATAAACGATATTATTTTAATTCAAAATTATCCATTGGTCATGAAACCGATTATATAACCCATGTCAATTTAGGATTTGTTGCCATAGCAACTAAATTGCAATCGTTACCATGGTTAATTAATTATTTGATTGAATTATATGAAAAATATTATCATTATAAATTTATACAAATTAAAACAATACAACAATTATTATGGGGTTATAATGATGAATTTTTATTATTATTAACTAATTATGGATTTAATATAACAATGACAAAGATTGGTTTATTATTAAATTATAATGATACATTAAATGATGATATCATCATTCATGATGGTTTAAAAAATCCTAAAAATCTAGGTAAAATCATACAATATAATAATAAGACTAAATTAAATGATTGGACAACAATCACAGCTAATATGATCAATGGTACTGATGGGACAATCTATCATACTTATATCAATAAACAAGAGAAACCTTATATATTTCTCAATGATCTATGTCGTTCCATTCAATTAACAAGAGATTCAATTCAACAAATGAATCATTTAAATGTATTTAAATATTTATTATCTGAGGATACATTTAAATCTGGTGAATTCTATGAAAAGAATAAAGGATTTTGTTTAAATTGGTCAAATTGTTTTAAAGATGGTGTATTAGATATGTCATCATGTCAACCGAATTCACCAATTGTTATATCACAACCACATTTTTTAAATGTAGGTTACAGGTTTTTGTGTTTATCAGTGTGTGTATGTGTGTGTATGGCGTGTTTTGATCATTTGATTAAGTAGGTAGTGAATGAGAATACCAGTGTATTTGAACAAAATGTCTTGGTAGAATCTGAGATTCAATTACTTACTTAGGCATGTTACCCCTCATAGAGGAGCAGTATAGTCTGATCATGAAAAATCTCCATTCAACTCTGTCCTAGATTATCTGTCTTTTCCAGTTGATATTTATCCTTTTCATGTGTGATTCCATTTCCTTACTCAGTGTATTCTTTGGCCTTCCTCTTTTCTCCTTCCTTTCAGAATTCCAAGTTAGGTCTTGTTTCGTGATGCAGTTCGATGATTTACGAAATACATGTCTTATTTAATTTCAAAGTCTTTTTAAAATTTCCCCCTTCTTTTGAAAGCTGGTTTGTCCTCTCCAATAGTGGATTGTTATCTGACTAACGAACATTGAGTATCTCGAGTAGAAAACTGTTTATAAATACTTGTACATTTTTGATGATGGTTGTAGCAGAAAATATTTCATTTGAAAAATGTCAGTAAATTGACTCATACTTGATTGTTCCTTCGTTTCCACACGAATCATTCCATGTTTTAGTTCTCTTTTTTCTATCTTCTTGATCTTCTGCTTCCAGGTATTTCACTCTCTATTCACGATACATACTACTTATATATGTGGACATCACTAACACGCACCATGGTATGACTGAAGTGATTAAAATTCACAGGTTCAATACAAGGAGCCTATATTACTCATTTTGATAATGACCTCGACTATTTCATTCTCATTAGTAATCAGTGAGTGAAAAGATAGTCAATAATTTAGTAATCTTTTTGCAAAAGTGGGAACCTAAATATATAGGATGGTTTAATTTGCCTCATGAATTTTCTAAGGCTTATAATAAGTTTTCTGTTGGGGCTTTGTTCTCTGATCTGGATGGTTTGGTCGTGGAACTTTAATCGCCATTCTGAACGACATCATCAACACAAACTTCAGGTAGAAGTGAGGTGCTCGAATTTCTTCACATATGGCTCACAGCTTGACTTATAGACCTCGATTGGTTATTGTTGACCTTTAACCTGTCATTGATTACTACTGATCTACAAATCTCGACTATCTCAAAACTATATATATGTATTTCTTGAATCATAAACTTTCATTTGACCTATTGGCTACGATTATACGATTTACCATTGTTAACTTATTTCCATTGCGTCGGGAAACGGAATCAGATATAAAAAGGATGAATAGAAATTTGAAAGGATTGCCTAGGACAAGGTTAGATGAAGAATTCTGGTGTGCGACCTATGCTCCTCGACGAAAGGTGACAGGTGTAAGTAGTAAGTAAATAATGGTTAGAAGTCGAATGGATTTAACTATGAGGTCGATGACTTTTCTTGGTGAATACTTAGGTAAGTTAACTGACCTACAATGATTTAGTTTGTTATACACTACCTACTTTGATAATGAGCTAAGTTTGGTAGTAGAAATAAATCATCATCTAGAAACAAACTGTTGTCAATATTATTGATTTTATAACTAGACTTTTTATGATATAACTGTTTTTGTAGATTATTGTCCGAAAATAAGTTATGTTTATAAACATTGACTATGTATCATTATACATTTTGTGTGTATCAATGTGTATATGGTTAGTTACGAGTACATGTGAAATTTACATTATGAGTGAGGTATTCATATGTGTATATGTTTCTCATATTCCAGATTACATTACATTCGAATTTTTAGGTCAGTTAAATATTGTAGTTTAATGGTTGAATTCATGAGTCCATTAAAGTTAGACCAACATAGAAATCCTGGAAGCACTGAACCGCCGTTTCGTCCTAGTATGGGACTCTTCAGTAGTGAGTATCCACTATCCCGTACGAGCGCGAGGCCGATAGGCCTGGGTTCGAATCCTGCTGATGTATTGTTTACATGAGTCAGTGTCAATCAACTGAATAGAGGAAGATTGTCTATTCAAACTTGATTGTGATAGAAAAATGGCGTGAAATTTGATAAAAATATTGAACTATATTGAATGAGTATGAAGAGACTGATTTGTGGATACTGATGTGAGGATTTATTGGAGAATGTAGATGGAGATGAAGATGTGACGAGTGTGCTGCCACAAATGTACTGTCATATTGTATTGAGAATTGCATATTGCACCAAACATATAATACCGCATAAAGCTAATAATAATAATAATCATCATCAGTGTAGTATTTTGAATATAATGATGAAATTGATGTAGTCTGAGTTTTATAGTGTTTATAACTTCAATTTCATATTTATTCAACAGACTAGGTAGATACACAAGGGAGAAGAATGAATATTAGAATGTGGAGGTAGACTTTCGAAGTTTTACAACACTGAATAAATTTTATTAGACGGTTATTGTAAATCAATATGCACTGGATACGTGTTTTATATGATTACAGAATTATTCAACATTGTATGTACAGGACCTCACAATGAAACAGATCCATGACCTTCGTGTTTCGAAACGGGCACCTAACATGTAGACCACTAAGTCAGCATGTATTGATTACCATTTCTAACTTTAGTTCGTTAATGATAATGTGCAACCGTTTTCTAATACTCATCATGGATAACTGCATTACCGTGAACATGGTTGAAGTTTGCTGGATACAACTACTCATTAAAACTTCATGAATTACTCCTCCAAATTAACCGCAGGTGATTATTATTATCAGTATGATGAATACTGTTTGCTGACGAGTCTCATAATAAGACAAAGTCACTGTCCACAACTTCTTTGTTTTCAATGGTTGTGTAACAAGATCCAGTTCATAATTTAAAAGTACGACATTCAATCATCTTCATAACTCAACATATTAAAGAAACGTTTTATCTGGATTCTGTATACGACAAAAAGTTTTCAAAAACCCTAAATTACTCAATACCATATACGTATTTAAACCTACATGTAGGGTTTATTGAAATTACAGTTGATTATACACCTCTATCAATACTCTTTGACATTCAATAACTAAGTGTATACTCAGCATTAAGTGTATGTATACATTCTGAGATTGAATATCATTCCATTACAAGTGCAGTTTATCTTATCATGTTAGCAGCGACCTGCTTGAACATCAACATTTCTCAACAAATTATCTGTCGTTTGTTTGTCTTAACACACTATCATAACCGATTTAGACAGGCTTATGAAATGTTTACGATCTTTCCCTGTACAACTTACAAAATGTACATTCAGAGTGGATTGTGTTGGATGCTACTCTGCATTGAAAAGAATGATCAATGTTCAGATGTTGATTGCTGAACAGCTAAAATTTAACTGATGATCGCTCAGTATTTATCATCAGGATAGATAATAAAATAAAATAAGAAAACTTGTTGAAATACTTTATGCTGAAAACTCTATATTATACCGAAAATAGGTGAGACTATAATTTATGGACGACATTTGAGCGACGCTCTTGAAGATATAGAATCCTTCACGTACCTGCGAAGCATCATCAATGAACAAGGAGGATCAGTTGCACACGTAAAGGTGAGGATTGGCAAAGCAAGGACAGCATTCCTACAATTGAAGAAAATATGGAACGCAAAACAACTGTCTATCAACCAATATCAAAGTCACAATCTTCAATACGAATGTCAAGGCAGTTATACTATATGGAGCTGAAACTTGGAGGACTACTACAACCATCATCAAGAAGGTACAAGTATTTATAAATAATTGTCTACTCAAGATACTCAACATCCATTGGTCGGATACCATCAGTAACAGCCTACTGTGGGAGAGAAGAAACCAGCTTCCAGTTGAAGAGGAAATTAGCAAGAGACGTTGGAAGTGGATAGGATATACATTTAGTAAATCATCAAACTGAATCACAAGGCACATTTCAAATTGGAATCCTGAAGGGGAGTGGAAAGCCGAAGGTCAAAGAACATATTACGTCGGAAAATAGAATCAGATATGAAAAGGATGAATAACGAATGAGAAGAGCTTGAGAGGATTGTGCAGAACAGGATTGGATGAAGAATTATGGTGTGAGACCTATGCTCCTTCACGTGGAGTAAAAGGCGTAAGTATGTAAGTTTGAGCTACTCTCAACTAACCTTGAGAGTACCCATCTAATAACAAGGACAAAATGACGGTTATAAACCAATGTGAAGAATTCGAATTATGATTTACAGTTGATGGTTAAAGTTAAGAATTAAATTTAGGGTTTTCATCATGAACTTACATCAGCTTTTATGTCAAAATTCTATTTATCCAAATAGGTGGAGGAATTTCGCATCGAAATCCGAGATCTGTAATCTTATACCTGATTGATTATTCATCTATAAATTATAGTCTCGCTCAAAAATATAATATTGAATAAAGCCATCAGTCGGTCAGTCAGTAACAGCGTAGAACTTCGTACGTACATACATCAGTTCGAGTTGCCACACCACAATAGCACAGAGATGCAGTGGCCGATTCAAATCCCGTAGTGCTAAATGTAGTAAAGTTATAAGCTGTAATCAGAAAAATTAGGATTTGAAGATGTTATTCAAGGAGTATAATACAGTGAAATAAATTTGGAAAGAGAAAAAAAGAGACAAGTAGGATTCCCGAGATTATAATTTGGGAGAACACAAAGAGTGAATGCACTTGTGCCATTGCAAACGATTTTGAGTCATGTCATTCAGGGTCTCTAACCATCGGTTGCTATCATCTCGCGGTCTTCAACCAGGTAGTCTACACCTACCAACATGTCTCAGTCTATTTGTCAGTGACTTCATGGACTTTTGCCATGGTCTGGCCGCCCCTAGCTTTCTTCTAATCTACACCTATACCATTGAACATCGCACGTCGAGGCAGTTGGTGGTCTATATTCTAACCAACAATCATAAGGAAATTACTGAAATTCTATTGAGAATCTATAACCAATGGAATGTAATTGTATCAAGCTTAATGAAGTGATTCACAAAAGACTCTATATCACGAAATATCATGTATAAATTAAGGTTCCAACTTATAAACCATAATGTAGTGGCTCAATGATTTTGGCATTAAGTATTCATGCACTAAACTATAGTTCTTTCATTCTATCCTTTATCGGAATATATAGATATACACTGTTGAATTGTATACATTTTATACTTTATACTAACTATATTTCATATATTTATTATATAAACTATCTATTCAATTATATACTATAGATAATACATAATTAACATTGAATATTAGAAAGTTTCCATATTTGTTTATCTCTATTGTTTATATATATAAATGCTAAATGATCATAAACATACCTCTATTCTTTTTTTTTCAATTAAATTATATGATACCATTTAAATATATCCATTTAAGATTATTATATTTAGCATAGTAACACATTGTTTTCAAAAACAATGTTATTGAACATTGAATATTGAACATGTTCAATGTTACAATTTTACGGCTCGATGTTCAAAAACCAAAAAATTTTTTTGTTTTTTTGAAAAAAAATAGGTAACATTGAAATTAATTCATAGGATTGAAACGAGATTTTTTTTTAAAAAATTTGTGTTTTAATGAATTAGATTAGAATCAATTTGTAAATCACTTAGACATAATTAATATATTGTACATAAATAAATGATAAATAGAAAATATAAATAATAAGTTATTATCAGTTTAGGTGTTGTGGAGATTGTTAAGTTTTTGACTGAAATCATGAGTCAATTGAAGCTAGACCACCATGAAAAACTTGGAAGCACTGGATGGCCGTTTCGTCCTAGTATGGGACTCCTCAGCAGTGCGCATCCACGATCCCGCACCCAGCGAGATCCAAACCCAGGACCTATCAGTCTCACGCCAAGCGTTTAACCAACTAGACCATTGAGTCGGCATCCAATGGTGTTAATGTCTAATGTTATTATGTAACTCATGATTTCAACTATTAAAATTATTATAATATTCACGAAAACCCTCTTCTGATATGAATCTACATATGCTTACTAGTGACTGACTTCAAGAGGTATATCCTGAAGTTCTAATGAGAAGCAATGGACTAGTAGAATTCAATTCAATTGTGAAATAGTAAATGATTGAAGATAATGATAGATGTGCTGCTCAATTTTTTGAATTAGTTGAAACTAGATATTAATACTGTTGGATGCCGGCTGACTCATTGGTCTAGTGGTTAAGCGTTCACTCGTGAGACTGATAAATTCTGGGTTGGAATCTTGCGAGGGTGGATCATGGATGTGCACTGTTGAGGAGCCATACAATAGAACGAAACAACCGTCCAGTGCTTCCAGATTTTTCATGTTGGTCTAGCTTCAATTAAATCATGATCTGAATTATTGAAATTACTAAAATCTCTACAAAAACCCTTCTAATATGTAACATACTACTGAAAAAATGGATAATTGTTTTCACTTATTAATATTTATATTTAACATCTGAACATTATTATTATTATATCTGAATGAATAATAAATGACTAGTAACTGCTAGAAATTATTTATGAACTATCTATAAATATATTCTAGTTAATTTTTTTTATAGCATGGTTGTTTTCTATGGGTTGAGGTTACTGAGACAATGCTTAAACATTCTCCTTTAGCCGAACTTGGGATTAGGCAGTAACCTTAGAAGAGCTACAAGTGGAGTTCTCAAATCTGTTCACTATCGCCGTTTTTATTCCTTCTACTGGTTGATTAGATAGTGAAGACTTTATCATCTCAGAAAAAGTATGGAATACAATACATACTTTGGACATAACTGGACAACTCTCATTTTGCAGATCACCTATCACTACTAATTCATACACAGAAACAAATGCACGTGAATACAGACAATGTAGCAGCGAACTCTGCAATAGTATTCCTTAACATCCACTGGCGAGAAGGAAGTTCCTGAAATACAACACAGATCGCCTCAAACAAATCACACTCGATATAGAAGCTCTATTGGTGGTGGAAACTTTCTCGTATCAGGGGTCAGCATCATTGATAAAGAAAGCGGATCTTATGCAGACGTAAAGGCACTGATTGACAAAGCAAGAGTAGCATTTCTGCAGTTGAAAGACGTATGGAACTCGAAATAACTGTCATCCAACATCAAAGTCAAGATTTCAATGCAAGCATCAAGAATGTTCTATCGTACGGAGCTAAAACTAGTAGGGTTATTACAACCATAATAAAAAAGTACAAGTATTTATAAACCATTGTCTATTCAAGATACTGAATATGCATTAGCAACAACGTACTGTGGTAGAGAACAAACCAGCTTACATCTGAATAGGAAATTGAGAAAAGAAACTGGAGGTGGTTAGGACAAACACTTCAGAAATCAACAAACTTCATCACGATGCAAGCCTCAACTTGGGATTTATATATATTTCTTTAATCATAAACTTTCATTTGACCTATTGGCTATTATTTAACGATTTACCATTCTTGACTTATATCCAAACCGTCAGTTACAGTATCCCATACTCACATGCACTTTTGAATTGATCTTGTATAATTAATGCTTCACATTTTGTGATATGATGAGGTCTAGACTAGTTATATATAAACCACGTATGTCTGAAATATACGATTCATATAGCGGGGGTTTATATTGTGTTCTGAAGCGAAAGGGCTGGGTTAGACAAGAAGTTGTTATACAGAGGACCGATAAGAATTGAGAGTTGACTTAAGACAGGTAGTTTTTGTTGATATGCCATCGCTTTACAACAGGGACAAGGTCAAGGAAGTCAACATTCTGATTGGTTATTTTTGTTACATGGTAATTAACGGACTATGGGACATAACAATTGAGTGTTCGACTGTGTCAAAATGGACTCGAATTCTGTGCCATTTATTTGGTTCAGTTGATTGAATGATATTCTTGAAATTCATAATTAAATCTATTAGAACGAACCGATAGATTAATTACATTAAATTACATGTGGTCAACTAAGTGGAGATTAATAAATTACATTGAGATCATGAATTAGTCTAAGGTAGACAGTCATTAAAAACCTGGGAGGACCAAACAACCATTTTATTATCCACAATCTCCTGATTATGTACATAATGAGATTTATTGGTTACGTTGTATTGTGGTTTTGAATCTTGTGTATAAAATCACATGAATTCATATTGTGGTGTGTGCTACTTATATCGGCAGATATAATTATTATGTATCATCAATAGAAAGTGAAATGCCCGACAATAGAATGTTAAGAAGATCAAAGAAAAGAAAACAAGAACAGAGAATGATTACTGTGGAAATGAAAGATCAATGAAGTTTGAGATGATTGATTGACATTTTGTAAATGAAGTATTTACTGTATGGTTCTCAGATTTTTCTACTAAGATATTCTGTAATTTTGTGTTTAAATGCATTCTACTGTCCCCACTTGTATATTCGTTCAGATAAGTAACTGGTTTTTCTAGTGTTATGATCAATGGATTTAAAATGGGTGAGTTTCGCGTTGGTAATCACTAATTAACGCATAAAGTAAGAGCATTGGTTTACTCTGTACCTTTCATGTAGTTATATTCATAATACTTTACGCATGATTTTCTGTGTATAATTACGTAATCATACCTAGTTCATATATGTATACTTAATGATATTGTCTTCGTTAACATCGTCAATAACGTTATCTACAGTTTTTGTCATTCTTTCATTTCGTTGAAATCATCCTATAAGTCTTGATTCATTCATTCCTATAACGATGATCAACTGTACAACATAATAATGAATTTACATTTATTCTAATTCAAACACATATATTCAATGATCAATAATATTTGATGGTGAGACTATAATTTATAAATGAACCGATCAGATTTAGGATAACAGGTCTTAAATTTTGGAACGAAATTCACTTACCCATTCATTTGAATATCGTCTTGGCATTTTAGCTGATGTCAGTTGATGATTTAAAAAAACACACAACCGTAAATCGAATTTCTAACCCTAATCATCAATTGTAAATCATAATCCTTATTCTTCAAACTACTTTATAATCCTCGTTTAACTTGTAGTGACCTACTTTTATCAAGAGAACGCTATTGGTTTAATGGAAACAATTATTATTATAACCAATTGTACCAGTGATTTGTTTGTTTAACTGTACTAAAGACATCCATTATTCTTCTATTCTTCCTCCCGTTGATTGTGACCCTGCACGAACTTACGTTTGCTCAGTGAATCCACTTGTACTCCTTTGGCACGATCTCGGTACTCTTTCGATACCACGAGATCACCAACAAATATACTTCGCTGCAATCTCCAATTACTTTCTGATATCTGTTACATAACCTTCTTGTAGTGATGATCATCGTCAACCGCGAAATCGATGCCACGGTACTAACTATACTAACTAATTAGCTACTCTCAAGATCAGTTTGTCATCGTTCACCCATCATTATCATTATCGTTTTCTTTTTTTTAATTTATTAAATAGGCTGATAAATCTTATCAAAATGCTATTGATGGTATACAATCTAATAATGATGAATATAATACAACCATTTATATTGAACCAACTACTGGTCTTATTATAAAAGCTCAAATTAAATTACAAATTAATATTGTGATTAAAAATAATAAAAAAATTAAACAATTATCTAATATTTCAAATGTTTTATTACCTTTAGTATATTTTAATGAATCTGTTCATTTAAATGAAACAATCACTCATCAAATAAATATGTTACTTATTCAATTACCAATGATCATACAAATTGTTTTAATCAGTAGTATCGTATTCAATGTTCTATGGTTATGTTCAATTATATTTAAATTATTTAAACAAAATAGATATAATTTAAATGATCAAAGAATCAATGAAGAAAATCAATGGTTATTAAGTCATCATTGAGAAGGTGTCAAAGAAAAGTTTATATATATATATATTTCATGTAAATACTATAAACGATATGATAAATCAGAACTCATCAAGTGTTCTATTCTATTGTCTTGTTCATGTTTCCAATATTTCTAATCTCATAAATAATAATCAATAAATCATTTGTTTCCAATGTAATGATAGTTTACATGATTGAATTCACCATGAATGGGCTTTAAATTGATTTATTATTTGAAACTAGAAAGCATTGAATAGTTACAACTTGGTCGATATGATTTAATCTACACTAAGAAGAATCTGACATACATGACATTGATCACTACTCAGTGATCTATCAATTTTAAATACAGTTCAGTCTTACAGGAGGACAATCGTGACATGGATAGCTCAGTGGTAGAGTCTCTGACTGTGAAGCTGGGTGACATGGGATTGAATCCGTTAGGGAGAATCAGTTCCCTTAAGATTTCTGTTACACTTTGCTGATTAGTGCCAAATAGCATAAAACTTGGGTTTGGGTTTTTCAGTTGATTACCTACAATCAACATCTTATCCCATCATAGTGCATGCAATATTGACCACCTAGACCAGTGGCCACATTGCAATTTGGTCGATAGTATTCGATCTGTGCTAAGAAGGACCTGACACACATGACAGTAGTCACCATCCAGTGACTAATCAATTGTAAATAGTTTTTCTATTTCCGACTTAAATCAGTATCAATATCAGGTCATCGACAAGTCGAACGAGCAAATGAACAAAAAAAGGGAAGTCTAATGCTGAAGATCTAGATGTAAGGGGAATGGTTAGTCTATTATTAAAGCACAAAGATATTCAGCATATGACAATATGTCTTTTTTCCTTTTGTAAAACTCAGGAAATCTATGTTTGTACTGAATATTCCAATCTCTTCTCATCACTTTCATGACAGTTGTGAAATATTATCGCACACCCTTCGCACATTCTGCTGTACAAAAAAGTACTGGTCGATTCAACCGTGGTATTTGCACTAACTGATGATTTCTTTTTACTCGATTGACCGCTTATTACAAATTCCAAATATAATACGTTCAGTAGTGCTCATCTACTTCTACTAGCCTTAAACTACAGTTTCAGGAATTCTTAGGTAGCATATTAATTTGAATACTTGTAATTATTATAAAAACATAAAATCAGTTTCGTTAGGTGGTCCTTCGAAGCATGAAGAGCGTGATAGAAAGTCTGAATGTGAAATGCTTTTAGTCACTCAGTGCCCAATGGTGAAATTGTAAGTATTCAACTCTAAATTCCATTTCTGGACTATGGAAGCGGATGACATATGAATTGACTTAGTTGAGAGATAAATAGATTTTAGCTCCTGGTGATCAGTTACAGTGTACAACTTTACACTAAATGGGTATTTATACAGTTTCTTTACTACCCATATCATAGCTGAAGCCTGCTTTTGGGTCCGGAAGCATCCTTGTTCATCCTTGCTTAATCGTCTCGAAATACAAATAACAGGTTTCCCATTCTGTTTTAGGATAGCGCCTAACCTCAGTGAAGATAGATCTGTGGTAAGGATAGATTTTTCGGTTAGTGAAAACGATCTGAGAAAAGCCATACCATTCAAATATTGCAGAGTGTCCCTAATATATCCTCATGCCGTTTTTCACATAAAAGCGCTTTATTAGAAACCATGTCGAGGAATGAAAATTATATTTCTATAGAGTTAAGCATAAACCTGGAATAAAAGTAAGGGACGCCAACACATGACTTGAGATATTCATAGGTGATGGTGCTTACATTATTGGAGCTAGGCGACTCATATCAGGTCTAAAAACCCTAGGATCTACATTATAATATATGAAGTTGAAACTGACAATTGGATGACTGTATTACTTACTCCTGTTACTCCCAATGGAGCATAGGCCGCCGACCAACATTCTGCAACCCACTCTGTCCTGGGCCTTCTTCTCTAGTTCCATCCAATTCTCGTTCATTTTTCTCATGTCTATTTTTATTTCCCGGCGTAATGTGTTCTTTGGTCTTTCTCTTTTCCTTTGGCCTTGAGGATTCCATGTGAGGCTTGTCTTGTGACGCAGTTGGGTACTTTCCTCAATATGTGTCCTATCCACTTCCAGTGCTTCTTTCTAATTTCTTCCTCCACTGGAATCTGGTTTGTTCTCTCCCACAGTAGGTTGTTACTAATAGTGTCCGGCCAAACGATCCGAAGTATTTTGCATAGACAACTGTTAATAAACACCTATATTTTCTGGATGACTGCTTTCTGAGTTCTTCAGGTTTTCACCCCATACAGTAGAACTGTCTTGATATTTGCATTGAAAATCCTGACCTTGGTGTTGGTTGACAGTTGTTTTGAGTTCCAGATGTTCTTCAGTTGTAGATATATGGTGCTCTTGCTTTGCCGATCCACGTCTTCACATCTGCATCAGACGCACCATGCTCATCAATGATACTGCCCAAATATGTCAAGGTTTTTACATCTTCCAAATTTTCTCCGTCAATTGTGATTGGACTGGTGCATGCTGTGTTGTATCGGAGAACCTTGCTCTTTCCTTTGTGTATATTGAGACCTATTGCTGCTAAGGCTGCTGCTACACTGTTCGTCTTCTCCTGCATTTTTTGTTGCGTTTGGGATAGAAGGGCCAGATCATCTGCGAAGTCCAGATCGTCCAACTGCATCCTAGATGTCCATTGTATTCCGTGTTTCTCTTCAGATGTTGACGTCTTCATGATCCAGTCGATCACCAGGAAAAAGAGAAAGGGTGAGAGTAAGCAACCTTGCCTGACACCGGTCTTTAGTTCGAACGACTTTGTCAACTGTCCTCCATGCACGATTTTGCAGTGTAATCCATCATATGAATTCTGTATGATATTGACTATCTTCTGAGGCACGCCGTAGTGTCGAAGAAGCTTCCATAGTGTTGTCCTGTCCCAATGTCAAACGCTTTTGCGTAGTCAATGAAGTTGATGTAGAGTGATGAATTCCATTCAATTGATTGTTCCACAATGATCCGTAGAGTTGCGATTTGGTCTTTACACGATCTATCCTTACGGAATCCTGCCTGTTGGTCACGAAGTTGGGCGTGGTATTGATTGCTGCCTTCTTGTTCCCTTTTTCTTGAATCTTATCCAGTGTTTCAACAGTGATCCATTCCTTATGATGGTGCTTCTTGTGACCCCGGACCTCATGACATGTTGAAATGATTCCCTCTTTGATTTCTTTCCAGTTGCTCTCCACAGTAGTTCCTTCTCCATTGAGTAGATCATGAAAGGCCTGGAACTTATTGCTGAGGGCTAACTTGAATTTGTTGAGTTTATTAGTATCCTGAAGAAAGGTCGTATTGAACTTTTGTGATATTGTCCGCCCCGTTGTCCAGTGCATCTTGAGTTTCAATTTCATCTTGGCGACCAGCAATATCAGCTCCTCTCTTGGTTCTCACGTCCTCTATAGTCCTCCTGAACGCTTTGTTGATGCAAATATGGTCGATTTGGTTTTGCGTGGTGTGATCCGGTGAAGTCCATGTGGTTTTGTGAATGCGGTTATGTGGTAATACGGTGCCGCCTATGACCAGTTTATTGGAGGCACATAGGTTTGCGAATCTCCCACCATTTTTGTTCCTTTCTCCCAGTCCATGTCGTCCCATGATGTCTTCATGTCCAGTGTTGTCCGTTCCAACCTTGGCATTGAAGTCTCCCATCAGAATGGTCAGGTCCTTTGTTGGGCACTCCTCGATGATTGACTGCAGCCTATCATAGAATTGATCATTAGCGTCTTCATTGTAATCGTTGGTGGGCGCATAGCATTGGATGATGTTCATTGAAATGCCCTCTTTCTTTGTTTTGAACGAGGCTTTGATGATCCTTGGTCCATGAGATTCCCATCCTGTAAGTGCATTCTGTGGTTGTTTGGAAAGCATCAGTGCAAATCCTTGTGTATGTATGGCATTTTCTTCTTCATGGCCGGAGTATAACAGTAGCTCTCTTGAAGTTGGTCGTTGTTGTCCAACTTGCGTCCAATGTGTTTCACTGATCCCAAGCACCTCTAGGTTGTATCTCCTCATTTCTGCAGCAATTTGAAGGGCTCTCCCGGTGTCCCACATTGTACGAGTATTCCATGTATCTAGATAAATGGTCGCTCTGGTTGTCAGAAGGGGCATCGGCCGCGTAACTTCTGAAGGAACTCGGCTTTCATCATGAGGCGTCATAACTCTTCTAAATGAAGACATTCTGACTCCCGTGGCAGAGTTTAAAAGGTTTGAATAATTTTTTTCTGGTTAGCGGTTTTTTAGCGAGTTAGTTTTCTACGGGATGAGGGTACTAACACCATGCCCAACCCTCCTCCTTTACCCGGGCTTGTGACCAGCAATAGCCCCCGAAGGGACTCCAGGCGGAGTTTGGATGACCGTATGGTCACATTTATATCACAGAAGCGTCTTAATTACCTTAAAAATGTTCGATATGCAACTCAATGTTTTAAACATGACCTACGATATGATTCTGATACGAGTCAACACCAAAACCGGTATAACATTCTGGAATATGCTAGGCGAAAAATTGAATCCAAGCAGTAGAAAAGTGAATCTGAACGTCTCGAACAGCAGATCAATAGTAGTTAATCACTCTAAATTTCATGCACTGTGATTTGCTAGACGCACCTATCAGGTGCACTTTAGAAAAAATATTTCGTGATTTATATAGAATATCTCCAGTTTATTCAGTGGTTCAACTCTGTTGCAATAGCCGAGTATTGAGTGACAAGCGGTAACCACCAAAAATTCTAGATGTCGTTCCATCCCCCTTAACGGAATCCCAATGAGAGTAGCTCAAACAAACGACTCAACCGGGATTATTGTCTATTTTCCGACCGATTTATTTAGCTCATTGTTCGCACCTTATCTTGAACCATGTAGGATTAGTCTACACTATGGGAAGATTTACTCTCCCTTTACTTCTTTGTGTGCTGGGTGAATTATCATACTCCCCCACAGACTTCGAGCATTGTAAGACTAGACCTTTGATTAATGTACTGTATGAAGAGTTAGTTCAAGAAAAAATGCGTACATTCAGCAATCTTAAATCCTTTAACCCAAGTAAAGATGGACCATACTCACTAATCAATAAAAAAGATATTGACACAACTACCCTCCTTTTTCCTGAATGGAATATCAACTATACCAATAATTGGTAACTGTTGGTTAGTGGTGCCGGTATCTCCACTATTTAAAGGTTTAAAATGTATATCCTCATAAAGAAACAGTAAATTTCTCTTACGAACAAATGACTCCATGCTACTAGTATCGACAATAAACGAAAGGAAGTTGCCTGTGTTGGTAGTTAATTTTTGCATTAAATGTGAAGTAGTGCTGCAGGCGGTAATAGGCGACAACGGATCCATCCTTCTCTCAAAACCAGTTGGTCTTGATCCATCATTTTTCAGTGTTTTAATATTAAACGACTTTAAACTGTTACAAAACTTTCATGTATGTTCAACCTTTCCACACTTACGGTGATGTGCATAACAAAATCGACATGAATTACAAAGATGTAGCCTATCACATGAAAGACAAGTTTCGCAAGGTTCACAAGGTTCTGAACCTCAGTCAATTCGGACTGTAAGGCTACAATCATCTTAATTTATGAGTGACATGATTAACTCCTCTAGTCATGTCTGCTCGAAAAGGTTCCATGAAACTCAAGTTGTAACTAGTTATAATTCTATAACTATCCAGTGTGTGTATTGAATAGTACTATATCGCGCCTACATGAACTGTACTAGATTTTTGACAGACCATTTAATTAATTCCTCTCAAGTCATTATCCATGGTTGTATAAGTGAAGCGGATTGAAATATTTGAAAAGCTAGTAAATAGCTGGGCCTTGTAGCGGTAAATAAATCCCCAAAATAAATAGCTCTGTAAGTTTTCGACATTGGATGCTAACCATATGTTTTAGTGGACTCATCTAGCTAAAGGCGCTCGGTCATGCATCCGGACCAGATCACGTATGGTAACGCTGTGCTCAACATCTACCTCAATCGCTAGCCAGATTAGATCAGAGAATTCCGATATATTGGTAATCGCCAAATACACTCTTCCGATCTCCTCGACTCTGTCTTTTGATTTCTCTCGGTGGGTACGAATTATATTAGAAGGTGTTGCTGGTAAAGGCGTTGTCAAACACTGAATACCTGTGTCATCTTCAGCCTAATTTAATCGGGATCATGCAAGATGGGGCCCAACACTAGTTGAGATTTGAGGACATGAATCTGCTCTAGTGTTGAACAATTCCCCAATATCACTAACTCGACGGATTTTTCAACAATGACGTTGTCCGTGTTAGTTTTAGCAAGCTTAACTAACTTGAGTTATGGCTAGATATTCATATTGAGTCACTGTACAGTTCGTATGACGCACTTCCTCCATAAACTTGATACTGAGTCAGTTAGTTTGACAATCATCTCGATTAGTGTTCAATATTCGTGAAACGATATTTTCAGGAAATAGTTTGCCAATGCAACATTTACATACAGACAAATATACTACTTTCTCCAAATGTTATCATTTCCTTCCAGACTAGTTCTCTGAAAGGTTAGCGCATTTCATTTGAGCACAAATTTTAAGTGAAATTAACACCAGCATGGGTCGATATTTCCATACCAAACAATCTTTATATTCGTATTATCAGTGAAATAACACTGAAGCTTAGAAATATAATCTGTCCATTTGATCATTCTTTCAAAAAGCGTTTATTTATTCGTCAGGGATAATAAGGAAGTGGAATCGCATAGATACTAGCATACGGTTGGTCAAGTTAGGAAGTCACTGAATGCTGCGACTTGGATTTAATATCATATGATATAAAAACATAGAATTACAGTTCAACTCTAGTGATCGAAGACCAGTGATAAAATAATATAATCGAGCGATTAGTTATATTATCTGGGCCAATGGACGACACCTGAAATATCTCTGCAGCGCTGTTACAACACATCAAGTAGGATAAAAGATTTACTACATGCTGAAAAGTATACAATGACCTGAGAGTGATAGTACGAAACCACCACCAAAAAATAAAACGTTACATAAGTAAAGAGGTTCTGGCACACTGAGATACCGAATATCATTACGACAGTAAAACTCCAGACAGAAAATAAATAGAACGAGGCACACAATCCACCATGTCCCACAAAAAAACGATGCAAGTGTTAATCTCTGTTCAAATTTGTTTGGAAGCTAGTCATAAAGTTCAAATTATGATTGGGATTCCATTTTATCTTCAGTCGCAAAATACCGTGTAAGTCGTTTTACATGGCAATGTAAAAAAGACACGTGATATATCTCCAGACCAATTAAACAAAATTTTACTGACGCGTAGAAGTTTTACGATACACGTAAGACCCAACAGCAGATACTTTACCTACTACAACACTGTTATTATCCAGAGGCTGAATGACCTTCATAATACCCGCCTGCATTGCTTCTAAGCTTTACGGATGTTCTCAGCATTATGTAGGAGGGGATTCTTGACTACCAAGGTGTTACAATTTAGAAGTACATACAAATGTGATCATTATAACCTCAAAACTCATATCAAGCCTTTAAAATGTATTTCATCACTGAGGCTTACTGTTGGCACTGGACTTTTCATTGCTCTTCATTCAAAGATATCTCCTGAATCCCGGATTCAAGTTGTGCAATGTGAAGTTGACAGTTATCATACAGATCAGATCACGACTACAGAAAGTGGAGGAATACCTCGGTACATTGGAGCACTGATACTTCCTGATTGTGTGTATTTATTCGGTGCCATTCTGGTATATCAGATTGAAATTCCAGCCTATTGTAATTAGGGTGCATTTGTAGCTGCAATTATGAACGTTTACATACCACTTTACCTTGGGGATTTCGTTAGTTCACTGTCAAGATGCGTTGTGACTCACGAAGGGTTCGTTTCTGCTGTGTATGTTCCTACACTTAGACTGTGCTCTTCCTATATACTACAGGTAGTTCATTTTTCGTATTATGCATTTTTTACCCAAGTGTATTAAAGGTTCATCTCCTGTAGTATTTGAACGCTGTTATCACTTTATTCTTCAAGAGTGAACCCAAGCTCCCAATTTGGGGGAAGCCGCTATAGTAAACTTTGGGGAAATGGCACAAAACTCCCAAAATTTCTCCAGAATCTTATTACGCTTTGGGAAAGTGCGCCTATATTTATTAAGAAAACCTTTAAATTTTCCACAATTTGGGGGATTCCCTTAAAGTTGGGAGCTTGGGAATGAAAGAAAAAAAACAATAGAATTAAACCGCAATAGATCACAAGAAATTAAACACCAAAAAAGTTACAAGTTTTATTTGTTGAAGTTGTTTGCTCGTTTTGCTTGGTAAACCAAGGTATTGAAGTATGACCCACAAAGATAATTAACAATGTGAAAGGATGTCACAAGTTTGATTGATACATCTGGTTTCCAAAATTATTATTTACAAACTATGTTATGAATTTGAGGCAGTCTGACATAATTATCCTAATCCCAGCAAGTCCGGAATTGTGACAAGACACAAGCGAGGACTCGCATTTGGAGTGCGCAGTATGAAACTGTTGTGTTATAACATTTAAATAGTATGAAATATTTAATTGTTCAGTGAATGTATTAGCTACTCTAAAAGTATGTATTTTTCACCTTGAAGTGTTCAGTGTTAATGTTCTGACAGCTGGCTAGTGCCTGATGTATGATATTTTTCATCCTTAGTTTCTATGACTATTTGCTTTGATTTGTCCTCTTACAGTGAATATATCAGCTTGTCATGTGTAGCAGTAGTCCTATGAACTCGGCGCTTAACTAGTTCACAAATTGTCCCTTACTTTAGGTGTATCAGCAAACATCGCTCATCTTCTCCAATTTTCGACAGTGCGTTTGGAATGACAAAAAATATTCTGGGAATAGTAGAACTTTTTACTGAATTGTGTCACCATCCTCAAGCTCTGTAGGTATCAACCGTGAATTTGAAGTTTGTGCAGTTTTATGTAACGTTGTTTATTTACCAGATATAGACTTAAACTCGAGTTACTTTGTGTAAAGGCCAGTGATACTATCCAGTGGAGTGTAGGTCAGATGTGTGGTCTGGTTGAAATTTAGGTTAACTGTTGTTGGATCTTTGAAAACATGTCATGACAAAATACATTAATTCATACGTTATAACTCATCTATATGAGTCAATGGTTGATTGTGTCTACATGATAACTCAGTAAAGAACATTTATTGACTTTGATAATTGAGTAAGGTACGTATCTACAATCTAACGGATAATATTCAAGTTACTTACAAGCTATTCTATTGAGTTTAAAAGAGTCGAAATTATTTGATTTTGTTGGGTTCGCTGAATAATGACGAAGTGAAGTTTGAATTCAACTTTGTGGGAATTTCATTGAGAAATTCTCGAAGTTCAAAAAAGATTTATGATAAAGCTCAACTACAGCAATGAATCCCAGTGATTACTAAATATATATGGAACAATTGTTACTATTTGTTTGCCAATAAAAAAGACCGTAAGAAAAAATGCTTTTCAAAGCACAATTAAGAGTTGCAAAGTATATACTACTTCTACATAATTTACTAAACTCTTCCGAAATAGTCGCCCTCAAATGTCCTGGTACGATTGAGGGTGGGGAGAGTCAGCTCTCCTCGAAACGCTCTCATATAGCTACGCGTATACAACCAACACCAGGAGAGTCCTCCTTACTGCCTTCTCTCAATGGGGGTGTTTTTTACGAAATTGACAGCAATGTTCGGCGCTTTAACCATGGGTTGATGGGTACGAAGAGTCCACATAGGAGAGTTGGAAAACCCTGATTCCATAACAGTGATGTACATGGGTTATAGGATCCTGATGGAATAAATGTCGTATCGACGTATTGTTGGTCACCGGCTATCAAGGGACTGCATCTTCTTACGTTGCTCAGTAATGCAGAGGTTCGACATCGTGTGTTCGGGCACAGAGATGATAATTCAATTGGTGTCACTATCTTGAAACACCGACTTCGGTGGCTTGGACATGTTCTACGAATGTCGTCCCAGAGAATTCCACGTCGTGCATTATTTGCCGATTCTGGGACTGGTTTGAAGAAGCGGAGAGGTGGTTAGTGCATGACATGGTGTCGTGGGATGAAAGTAAGCTGCAGAGGATTGGCTTGTGTTGGTCCTTCACGACTCCCTGGTTGGGGTCTGAGAGATGGTGCTACACAGTGGCTAGAGACGTTATCAGATATGGCTCAGAATAGAAGCCAGTGGCGATCCTGCTGTAACCTTCCTTTACTTCACAAAAAGTGGTTGTGTCTCCCTTACCTGAAAGATTTTTTTTCCGATTGCACCTTTCCGTTCCCTCATTACTACCACACTACCTTACAGCAAACTCTTCGTTATTGTTCTCTTTTTTTGCGCTCCTTAGCTTTTTTTTCTATTTCTCTTCGAATTCTCATTGTTTTGTGTGGCGCATATATATTGGCGCTCTCTTGTATCAATATTCATGTGTTCAAATAAAATAAAATAAATAAAATATCTTGTGGATTAGACCTGTAGGTCGAGGGTTTGAGGAGTGGCCTCCTAAGAAAACCACGTGCTTCGGTTTGGCCACCCGGACATTATTCTAGTCCTTACGCAAATCGGATGATAAAGTGCGGTGCATATATATTTGATGCCTCCTTGTACCAGTGTTTATGTGTTTAAACAACTTTAAATAAATAAATTCCAGAGTAGTCATTCTTTCTGTCTTGAAGTCAAGGAGCATTCGTCGAAGAAACTCATTCGTATGACTTCAAAGCATCCATATATTTTTGGGACATTCATATTGCTGTAGTTTATTTATTTATTATTTATTTAAACACATAGATAATGGTACAAAGAGGCACCAAATACATACGCGCCACCCAAATCTCATTCGATATGTGTGAGGGCTGTGATACTGCCCGGGTGCCCAAACCGAAGCAGGTGGTTTTCTTAGGGGGCCACACCCCGTAGTTTGCCCTTAAATGACCCCATATAGCTTTTGTGGTAATCATGTGAACTCTTATACTTGGTTTGGGAAAGTGTGTGTATACAATAGCTTTGTTTTTGTAACAATATCGTCAGAGAATTTCGTATGTTTGCTAACCGTCAGTACAAATGGTAGCTGTAACAATATATTTCTGAGTCATCAGGATTGGTGTTTAAGCCTTCTGATTATGGATTTTCTCAGAATATCCTTTTCAAGCAACAGCTATCTTACATACAAAAAACCCATTATGGCTAGTGGAATCAACTTTTAATTTATCTGCTCTCTTTTTCCGGGTTGCTGTTTTACATATCTTAACAATTCTCTTTGTACTACTAAGAGATAATGGTAGCTTTCACAGATCTTTGACTTCAAGGCAAAAAAAATAATAACTAACATGAAGAGGTTAATTAATTATGGGAAAGTAGTGTGTACTTTGTGGAGAGGTAGTTCAGTGATTAAGGCCTTCGAATTTTAACCATGTTGTCGCAGGCTCAAACCCCACTTTATCTACTTCGCTTTGGGCAACCAGGTAGTATCACTAGGCCTCAAGTGCAGTGGCACTAGAAGCCGAATACACGACTCAATACATGGTAAGTGAGTGAAATAAATCTCTTCATTTGGTGCTACAAATTATTCATTCATATCACATGTTTCTTATTAAATAGGAACAATGGAAATTGGTTTGAGTGATTTTGACAATCACTCATGGTCATTTCTATAATTGAACTGCACTCTTTTACTAACTTCAGAACTTTTTATCCACTTCAAGTTTTTCTTCTCTATACTCTTATTTTTTTAGTCACTATCCACATTCTTGTACATTGGACTATTGGGATCTGTCGGTGAACGTATGGCTAAACGCATGCGGATTCAATTATTCCGAAAGTTAGTCTATCAAGATATAGCCTACTTTGATGTACATAGTTCTGGAAAATTGGTAGAAATGTAAGTTATTTCACTGTATTTTATTGAGACAATTGTAAACCTAGCGTTCTAAAAATCGACTGCCTTGGGCTTAGTTCTGTAAGATATCATCCTACCACAATAAAGCAAAATGCCTACCTAGTATTTCCTGGTTTACATATAACAGTGCCTTAAGACTAAAAGTCATCAATCGTTTTAATTTATTGAGTCTTAGATGTAAATATTAGTGTATTTAATCATTTATGAACATTAAATCAACTTAAGATTTAAAATAGTTTAAGCAAACTTGCTAGTTGATAAAATAACGGGATAATTAAATCTGTTGATTGGTTTCCTATCAATTAACTTATCTGCATATATTTTTCTTGTAGTATTGGATCAGATGTACAAAACTTTAAAAGTTCATTCAAACAATGTATTTCACAAGGTTTACGTAATGGGATTCAAGTAAGTTAGTATTAATTGTTATAACCTTGATTTATATGTCCACTAGTGTGTGCTTAATATGCTAGAGCAGAGAGAGTTATTTTGAAGTGGTTTACGGCATTGACTTGCTAGATTACTTAATGCAACCTTGGGATATGTGACGCTTGATCTCAACTTGTGATTGAACAGCCTTGAGGATAGAGAGGAAGAAAATTACTCTATCACTGACCTGACTGACTGGGGATCGGAGAGAGAAAACGACTTATCTGTGACTCCATATCCGACTTATTCTTAATTCAACTAACTCAAAAAAGGTAAACGAATAAATATATGACTATCAAAACCGCAACACAAAGGTAATGAAAAAAACAATTGTATACACACTAGGACATTAGAGTGCAAAAAATGGAATGTAAGGGTCACATCTAAACTATATCAATTTCGAAATAGAAGAGAATATGACGGTAATTTATACATTAAACAAAAGCTCATAGTTCATAGAATAAAACATACACAGAACTAATTGTTAATGCTTTAAAGAATTAGAATTAATCTAAACAATATTCCAAAAAAAGTGTCTTTCATCGTTAGTCACCACTTCTTTATTATCTTCTTTCTAACTAGAATAGTAATGATAATAATCAGGCATGTCACGCTTATAAATGGAAAAAAATATTGGAACATCTCATCATCCCTTTTACTAAACTTACAGTAATATTTATTTAGACATAAGAATATAAATTACCATTATGGTGTAAAGCATACGAAATGAGAGATTTCCCCTTAATACAATAATATTTACACTCTTTAAATCAAAGATTTCAATTGTCAAAAGAGAGAATATCAAATGGTTTCCCACGGATTTTGAATTCATACAATCTTTAGATTTTATGTTAGTCTGTAGTGAACAAAGACTTGATGTGGATAACAAGTCTATTGTTTAACGCAAAATTACAGACTGCCTCGTTAAAGTATTAAAACCATACATTAAATATTATTATTTGCGCATCATTCTTCATTTTTCATGTACGCACTTCATGATTCTCTTAAATCTGTTGCTCTCTGTTTCCCTTTTTTCGTTCTCTTCAATTCCATCTTTTGCTGGTAGGCATTCCGCTTCCGATTGGTGCTACATACTACCTATATCTGTCAATATAAATAGCATACACCACAACTATACTTATTAAATATAAAATAAATTGATTTAATATTGTTTACTAGATAACATTTTGAACGTAGATTTTTTTGTTTTTATTATTCCAATACGATCGAATATGATCATGTTAAAAAATTCGATACAGAACTTCATCTAGTAGATACGTGAGAAATTTCCCTTTCATATTGGCTTATTTATTTATTTAAACACATAAACATTGGTACGAGGAGGCACCAAGTAGATATGCGCCACATAAACCATTCGATTTGTCTGAGGGCTGTGATACTGCCCGGGTGCTCAGACCGAAGCAGGCGACCATACCACGTTGAAAGCATCGGTTTTTGTCCAAAGCACCGGTTCATAGTGGCTACCTACATTCTGTACTTACATCGACATAGAGACATTTTCTTTATTTAAAACTGTTATTACACGTAAAAGAGAGAAAATGGCTCCTGAAAATTTAGTTTAGTGGATACATAGACCAATAATCATGATGTATCATATTTTCCTTTAGTACAATTGTTGTTTTACTATCTTTTATAGCTGTACATATTTGTATCACAATATGAATTTTAAAACAGTAATATGTTAAAAGTTTGATTTTATCCGAGTCTAGGTCAGTTTTAAAACTTTATGAACATTTCGATTTTATTGATGCAGTCTGATGCTCATCCAGATATTCGAATTTCGTATCTTTTATAGAACGATGAACTGTCCTTTCTGAAAGGAATCTGAACATTTACCCTGATATTTGGTAATCATGCTTAATGATTAGACAATTGATAAATTCAATTAAGCGCTCCCATATTAGTCATTGACTGTTTTGGAGATGCCTTAGATGAGTGTTTTTCTTATCCATCTGTTATGTATCTAACTGTGACTAAAGTCATACACTTAAATCATTACACTAATTCCGTTTATTGAATTTGTTTGTTTTTTCTTTACATAAATAAATACCTTTTAGGACATAATCATTGCACTTCATGCACCATTCTCACGTTATATAAACAGTTCAAGAATATGATCTAATTTGTCAGTTGTTTTAACTCTTATGGTAAATTAAACTTCCATTCAAAGGTTGCCATCATTGTTGAGTGTTAAGTTTTGGTTCTGTATGTAGTGGGAGTGTTTGTGTGATCCCATTCCCAAATCAACATCAATTATTCAAAATGTCGTTGTTGGTGGTTCTAAACCTGTAGTTTATTGTACTGTGGTCATCCAACTATTAACTATCACCATTGGATGCCGGCTCAGTGGTCCAGTTGGTTAAGCGTTCGCGCGCGAGACCGAAGGCCTTGGGTTCGAGTCTCGCGAGCAAGATCGTGGATGCGCACTGCTGAGGAGTCCCACAATAGGACGAAACGGCCGTCCAGTGCTTCCAGGTTTTCAATTGTGATGGTCTAACATCAATTGGTTCATGATCTCAATCAAAAACATAATAATCTCCCCATACTAGTTATTAACTATCAAGTTGCAAGTTTAAATTCATTCGACCTATTCTGCTTTAATTAGATGAATAGTTTCCTTGGCTCACAGTCTTCGATGGATTACTCACATATATTGGGACCACCGAGTAAGCGATTCTAAAGTCAGACCCTGAGTACTAGGATAAGGCGATATGTCGGTTGATGAAGTAGTAAATCCTGAGGTCGTTGAGATTTATATTGCTTGTTACTAACCGCTTCCTGCCTCAACTCATAGTGTTGGTTGGCGTAAGATCAAGATGAAAAAAGCTAGAAGTGACCAAAACAAGACATCTCATTATTTGATCAATTCATCGACTGTTGGAATAAACTATGCTTGTGTAGATACAGACGATCTGGTTCGGGCTCACCCGATACTCGTGACATGACTCGTAATGACACAGATGCATTTGCTCTTTGTATTCTCATAGATTTTTGGTTTTAGAGCTTTTCTTTTGGGAATTCATTCTTATCGAATCCTGTTCTCCAAACTTATTTTTACTATCATTAATATAACTATTACCACTATGGTATGCTGCATATGTTGACATGGTGTGGTAACGTGGACAAGTTCATATGCTCTAGGTTTCGGGTCGCTTTTAAATCTAACTGATTGATTGAACTGTTTAGTACATAAATAGAACTGAATTTACACATTATCTTTATAATTAATTAATTTTTTATAGGTTGTTGGATCTGTATTTGCATTATTAAGCATATCGCCTACTTTAACAGCTGCACTTCTTGGTTGTTTACCATGTGTTTTTTTAATTGGAAGTTTAATGGGCACTGAACTTCGTCATATTAGTCGTGAGGTTCAATCACAAGTAAGTTCATTTACTATTTATCTATCTTGTAACAATATAGACTTCATATTCTATGTAAAAAATATAAGATTCCTTTGTTATGATATTTTCTAAATTGTTAATGAATTAATATCCACAAAACCCATCTGATATTAATCAACATATGCTCACTAGTGACTAGCTTCACGAGGTGTATCCTGAAGTTCTATTGAGGAGTATTGACCAGTAGAGTTCAACCAGGTCTGTTGTGAGATACTAACTCACTGAAGACAACGGTGGATGTGTCGCTCAATTTGGTTGATTAGTTGAAGTTAGATATTAACACCGTTGGATGCCGGCTCATTGGTCTAGTGGTTAAGTGCTCGCGCGAAACCAGTAGGTCCTGGGTTCGAATCTTGCAGGGGGCGAGGTCGTGGATGCGCACTGCTGAGGAGTCCCACAATAGGACGAGGCGGCCGTCCAGTGCTTCCAGGGTGGTCTGGCTTCAACTGACTCATGATCTTAACCATTGAAATTGTTAATGTATTCAAAGAAAAGTTGTAAAGAATCTTTCATAATGTACACTAAGACTTCTCCACTTCTTAATTAGTTTGAGAAATTCAGGAAGTTAGTTCCAAATCTACAAAAAGGGATTGCCACTTTGTTTTTTATTATTCTCTTCATTTTTCTATTGACAAATACTGATTCGAACTCTTCAAATTATTAAAAAGAAACGTCTGTTTTTTTACTTTTGAATTATCAATGTAAATGTGTCTGATAGCACTGCAATCTCCTTGGATGTAGATGCCCCCAAATGCCCTGGTATGGCCGAGAGTGGGGTGGGCCCGCCCTCTCTATCGAAATGCTCTCACATGGCCACGCGTATATAGCCTCTGCCAGGGAAGTTCTACTCACTGCCTTCTCACACCAGGGGTGTTGTTTACGAAAATGAGAGGACGGAAAGCAAAGGTCTGGCGCTTTAACCGGATCCCGAACCAGTGGTGCACATGGGCTCCAGTATCGTGCGGGAACAAATGGTGTATGAACCAATCGTTGATCACCGGCTACCATGGTACTGCATCTCCTCACGATGCTCCACTGCCTTGTGGGTTAGACTTTGAGGTCAAAAGCTCAAGGTGTGGCCCACTAAGAAAACCACCTGCTTCGATCTGGGCACCCGAGCAGTATCACAGCCCACACATAAACAAATATGGTATGGCGCATATATATTTGGTGCCCTCTTGTACCAATATTTATGTGTTCAAGTAATAATAATAATAGATGCATACGGATAAGACTCAATAATCTGCACAGGTTGTTAATGTAACAATAATCATGAACAATTGTTAGAGATTAGTAATAACGGATTACGGTTTTAAAAAAATACAAATTAATGATAAAAACCAAAAACAAGGACAAAACATAATAGCGAAATCATTAGTTCATGAAAGAATGAAAGTTTGTATGTAATTACTTTTCCATGCAGAGCTTAGGCTTTAATTGATAGATTACCGACACCGCAGTGCATAAGTTTTTGACTCGACCTCCCTTTGATAACATTCGTTTGAATGTGTATATTATTTTGAAGGACGATTCTTTCGGGGACGACGTGCTCAGAGTTAATGAAGTGCTCCTGTGTTGCACTATTGATTGCATTGCATTCCCTTTTTAAAAAATCTATTCCTGGCAATGCTCTGCGGTGCGTTTAGAAAGTGTTCTCTTTGTGCATCCATTGTAATCTGCCCCACCGGAGCAAGTAGACTTATAGATGCAACACAATGTGGCCCAAAGCAAAAGTTTATCTTTAACACATTTATGAATGGCAGTTCAGCTTGAGAAGACAATGAGAAGAGTAGCTAAGTATCAAGTATAAACAATTTGTGCAGCCGTATCTCCTTCAAATTTTCTTCGTTGAATTCTTTTTTATTTTTATCCAATCACCCATTCTCTTAACATACTAGATATAGAGAGTTCATCATTTGCATGTAGCCAGCCGGTGACTAACGATTGGTTCATACGCCATTTGTTCTCTCAGGATCCTGGAACCTATGTGCACCATTGGTTTGTAAAGAGGGTTTTCCAACTCCCCTAGGTAAACTTTCCATGTACACCAACCTGGTTAAAAAGTCGGACATTCGCTTTTCGTCCTTCCAATTTCGTAAACAACATTAATGCCACGAGAAGGCAGTGAGTAGGACTTCCCTGGCAGAGGCTGTATACGCGTGGCCATGTGAGAGTATTTCGAGAGGGAGGGCGGACCCACCCCGCTCTCAACCGTACCAGGGCATTTTGTGGCTAATGAGCTGGAAGCAGCAGCTGCATCTGGTAATTACCGGAAGCTCTTCCAACTCATCCGAGCCACTGGCAGCAAGAAGTCTGGTGTGAGTGAAATAATCTGCGAGGATGACGGGATGCCAATCACTAACATCCATCGACGTCTTGGACGATGGGCAAAGTTCTTCGAAGGGCAGTTCAACTGGCCTGCTGCTCCGGCAACATCGGTCAGACTGTCCTGCCCTCCATGACCGGTGACGATTGATCCACCAAATGAGGCGGAAGTCCGCAAGGAACTCCAACTCTCGAAGCGTTACAAATCACCTGGCCCAGATGACTTACCTCCGGCTCTTTTTAAAGATGGTGGTGACTTTTTGACTAAGGCATTGACGACGTTGTTTACAAAGGTTTGGGTGTTAGAGAGTGTACCAACGTCATGGAATGAGTCGATAGTTGTCCCTATCTTTAAAAAGGGTTCACGTCGTTCCTGTAACAACTATCGGGGGATAAGTCTACTTTCGACTGCGTCCAAGCTATTGGCTTCCGTCATACTTCGTAGGTTGTTCAAAACCCGAGAAAGATTGACTCGCGAGGAGCAGGCTGGGTTTCGTTCTGATTGAGGATGTATTGATCATATCTTCACCCTCCGCCAAATGTTAGAACACCGTCATACTTATCAAAGGCCAACAATCGTAGTGTTTCTTGACATCAGGGCTGCCTTCGCTTGTTGGATAGGACTGTTCTCTGGGATTGCCTATTGAAGAAGGGTGTGCCTGAGAAGTTTATTAACATCCTAAAAGCCCTATATACATGCACCTCAGGCAGAGTGAGGACATACAATCACCTTTCTCCATTGTTCTATTCGAGCAGTGGGGTTAGACAGGGTTGCCCAATCTCACCATTCTTCTCCAACTTTGCCGTCGACGACATTCTGGAAACAGCACTGATGGATGTAAGTAATGGTGGTGTGTATCTGTGCGATAATCCCCAAGGCATGCAATCCGCATTTGTCAGTTGGCAATCAGTGTATGTAAATATGGTATGAACTTTGCACCTTCTAAGTGCAAAGTACTTCTACAAGACTGGCAGGGTTCTAACCCTGCACTCACTCTGGATGGTGAGCAGATAGAAGTAGTCGAGAATTTCGTGTATCTAGGTAGTTGCATAAGTGCTGGTGGGGGGGGTGAGTGATGAGATCAATGCACGTGAAAGCCAGAGCGGCTTATGCCAATCTGGGCCATCTTGGCGCCTTCGTGATGTTAGTCTGGCTGTAAAGGGTCGGATCTACAACGCGTCGGTGAGAACAGTTTTGCTCTATACTTGTGAAACCTGGCCTCTCCAAATCGAAGACGTGTTCGATCATCGTTGTCTCCGAAGGATTGCTGGCGTCCAGTGGCAACACCATGTTAGTAATGCAGAGGTTCGGCATCGTGTGTTCGGGCACAGAGATGCTAATTCAATTGGTGTCATCATCTTAAAACACCGACTTCGGTGACTTATACATGTTCTGCGAATGTCGTCCCAGAGAATTCCACGTCGTGCATTATTTGCCGACTCTGGGACTGGTTGGAAAAAGCGGAGAAGTGGTCAGTATATGACATGGTGTCGTGGTATGAAAGAAAGCTGTAAAGGACTGGCTTGTGTCAGTCCTTCACGACTCCCTGGTTGGGGTCCGAGAGATGGTGCTACACAGTGGCTAGAGACGTTATTAGTTATGGCTCAGAATAGAAGCCAGTGGCGATCCTGCTGTAACCTTCTTTTACTTTCTTCATAAAAGTGGTTGTTTCTCCCTTAACTGAAAGATTTCTTCTGATTGTACCTTTCTGTTCCGCCATTTTTACCATTATTATTATTACATCACCTTACACCAATCTTTTTTTTCTCTTTCCCCTTAAATTCTCATCGTTTTGTGTGGCGCATATATATTTGGCGCATTCTTGTACCAATATTTATGTGTTCAGATAAATAAATAACACACTAGACGATAATCATTTTTCTGTATTTTCTCTCTTTGTTCTATCCACCTTACTATTCTTTGTTAGAATTCTCTACTCGCTTCGTTAACTGATGAGGTGTTTAGTCATATACGAACAGTGAAATCTTTGACAATGGAAGATTTCTTAATTGAGTACGTTTATTTGCTTATTTACTTGAGTTCTAATATATGTGTTATTTTCGAGATTCTCATTTGATTGTCTATGTATATTTTCTGAGTCACCGGAATACCGCACTTGAGCTTGATTAAAATTAGAAGACTGTTACTTTCTCGGATATGGAGGGTCCACCTAGGGGAGTTGGAAAACCCTCATTTCAAACCAATAGTGCACATGGGCTCCAGTACCCTGAGGGGACAAATGGCGTATGAACCAATCGTTGGTCACCCGCTGGACACCATGGGACTGCATCTCCTTACGATGCTCCACTATCTTGTGGATCAGACTTTTAGGTCAAAGGATCCGGGTATGCCCCCTAGGAGAACCAGCTGCTTCGGTCCGGGAACCCGGGCAGTATCACATCCCACACACAAATCAAGTGACTTGTGGCGCATATATATTTGGTGCCGCTTTGTACTAATTTTGTTCAAATAAATGAATAAAATAGATATGGAAATATATATCAATAATAAATAGTTCTATAATAAAACATAACTAGCTCAAGTCAAAACTCACATTCAGTGTGGTAAATTCAGAAACAAATAAGCACAAAAGGGACCGGTTTAATATCACCGGAGAAATAATAATTCTGTTGACCATTAAGAGGTTGGCCACTTTACGATTGAATACAATACAATAAATAAATTTTACAATTGAAAGACTAGTTACTCATTAGTAGTACAGCTATAATACACATCTCATTAAAAAAGTAGTAAATAGAAACCATACGAATTATCGAACATCTAGTTTATTTTATTTTTTATTCTAAGTTATGAATAAAAGTAGATATAATTGATATTCATAAGCTAAATGCATATTTGTTTGCTAGACTTTTAGCCGTATCTGTTATGCATTGAATGACTAGCGATGTTACTTTTGTGATATAATATATGACTTAAATAAGCTATGTGCATACTCTCCTAACAGTTAGGTTTATGTGGAACCATAAATTAGTCGGCGACCATTTCACGGTTAAACAACGGTTCTCATTTAATCGTTGAAGTTAAGTGGAGCGGTGGTTTAATGCCTAAGGTGTCGAACTTTCAATTACTGGTTCCCTAGACTCGAATTCTATTGTATCTGTTTTTCGTTTTGGGCAGACTGCTAATATTAATGACTATTTTACAAATCTCTTTGTTGTCTATGAATTCCTCAACTAATTAAATAGTCTTCATCAAACAGAAAAAGTATATATTGCATGATTTGTTAAAATTACTGAGTAAATAGTACTTACATTCTGTGAATATGTATAAGTAGTTTGGCTAACCGGCTAAGAAGATAGTCTAAGTGTTTATTACAGCTTACTCACACCTTAGTTTAACTTTCTATACAATCCCAATACGTTGTGTGACTTGACAAGCCTCATCTAGTCTGTTCAGTATATCATTGAAGTTGGTTTATTCCCGGTGGTCCTCAGTCTCAGCCCATCAAGGAATTATAATCAAAGCTCTTATTATTTCAGTCCATTTTGGACTCATTGAAAGCGAAAGAGAAGAAGGGAGTCAGTTTACAAACATTAGTGATGAGATAGTTATTTTAAAAAATCACTGTTTCATACACATAATTCCTTTGATTAACTTGAAGAGAGTAGGAATAGAAAGTTACTTTACTTCATTGGTTTCTTGTCAGTTTTTTTACACATAAGCTGTATTGTTTCATGATCGAAATTTCAAGGCGAGTTAAAAATACTATCAGATCTAAGTAAATTTAAGAGCTAGCTTAAACACTTGAATAGACTGGCTAGCGTATATTCATGCCTGATGAGGTATGCATTTTACGTATCTCTGTACTTTTGTGGTGTATGCTACTGATGTCGACATATATAAGTAGCATGTATCACCAACCAAAATTGGAATGCAATGACAGTCAGGGGTTTCCGAGTGAGAAATGTAAGCTGTAGGTCGATTAAGCGTCACTTGGCGCGAAAACATAAAATTCAAATTTTCAGAATAAAATGACGAAATTAGGACCTTTTCCAAGCGAGTTCTCGGGATCTAACGTCCTCAACACTTATATTATCTTGTTCTTGTACGAAACCAATGACACATGTCAAAGTAACACTAACTCTGAATCCTTATAGATTCTTTTCGCCTAGCCCTGCCCGTTGAGTTCAGAAAGCAATTTCAACTTCCACTATATGAACAAATTTGTCTCAGACATACGTAGTTTATATACAGGCGGACCAGACCACATCACACCATAAAATAAAAAATAAAAATTATAAAAAATCAAACTATAAAGGTGTTTGCGACTATGGGATAATGTAACTAATAAACAATCATATGATATTAGTCAATAGGTTAAACGGAAGCTTATAATAAAATGCTAGCAGTGGGATCCACGACGCGCACTTCGTCCTATTTGGGACTCCTCAGCTGGATGTACGTACACCCGAGTTGATGTTTACTCTGGGACTCGAACCCAGTACTATTCACCTCAAACGCTATCGCGTTATCCACTTAGCTTCTGAGTTCTATATTAAAATGGCCTCCAAATGCCCTGGTACGGCCGAGAGTGGGGAGAGTCCGCTCTCCCTGTGCAACTGCTCTCACATGGTCACGTGTATATAGCCTCTGCCAGGGAAGTCCTACTCACTGCCTTCTCGTGGCATTAATGTTGTTTACGGAATTGGAAGGACGAAAAGCGAATGTCCGACTTTTTAACCAAGTTGGTGTACATGGAGAGTTTACCTAGGGGAGTTGAAAAACCCTCTTTACAAACCAATGGTGCACATAGGTTCCAGGATTTTGAGAGAACAAATGGCGTATGAACCAATCGTTGGTCACCAGCTGGCTACTATGGGACTGCATCTCCTTACGATGCTCTACTGTCTTGTGGGTCAAACCTTTAGGTCGAAGACTCCGGGTGTGGCCCCCTAAGAAAACCACTTGCTTCTGTCTGGGCACCCGGGCAGTATCAAAGACCTCACACAAATCAAATGAGATTTGTGTGGCGCATATGTATCTGGTGCCTCCTTGTACCAATATCTATGTGTTCAAATAAATAAATAAATTAATTAAATGAATATGAATATACATATAATATAGTTACGTAATAGTTATCCATTAAGAATATATTATGTAATAACAGTTCATTAAATATTATAAGCAAATATAGATAGTGGCTAGCAGTGGAATCCATGACGCGCGTTTCGTCCTGTTTGGGACTCGTCAGCTATCAGGACTCAGTAGCTAAGTGGATAACGCGATGGCGTTTGAAGCGAACGGTACTGAGTTCGAGTCCCAGAGTGAACATCAACTCTGAGATGCAGGTACATCCAGCTGACGAGTCCCAAACAGGACGAAACGCGCGTCCTGGATTCCAATGCTAGCCACTATCCATCTTTGCTGATAATGCTTGTAAATTAAGGCAATATCGAGGCATACGCACAGTATGCACATATGCCAATAAGAGACTGATCAATTTCAGTCCTAAAACATCAATGGGAAGATTCAAGTAAAAACAATATCAAGTGAAGTTCATTAAATAGTTCTTGGAAGTTACCTATAAATTAATCTTCTCTATTTATTCATTCATTAATCTAATGTTTTTCATGTTATTCATTTTGTTTTTATTCTACTATAGTAAAGTAAATTATAATGTGAATAAATCTAAAATGTTAAATGAAAAACTTTCTTTTGGAATTGGTTCATTTCAAGGTCTTTCCAATTTAACATTAAATGGTAAATTAATAATTTAATATGTATATGTATATCAATGTCTTTATGTTCAATGAAAGGTTAGATGATGTAGTTTCGATGTTGATTATATTTCTCAATGTAAAATATTTTAAATAAAACTAGAACAAACATTGATGCAGAATTCATTATATTTTTGACTGAGATCATAAACCATTTGATGTTAGATCACTATTGAAAACCTGGACGGTCTTTTCATCCTATTGTGGGACTCCTCAGCAGTGCGCACCCACAATAGAACGAAACGGCCGTTCAGTGCTTCCAGGTTTTCAATGGTAGTCTAACATCAAACGGTTCATGATAAGTGAAGTTGGAAGTCTGATCAGCCCTAATGGGTTGGTATCGGACGAAATCTCAGCACGGATGCGAAAAGCTCGTTTGACTTTTGCCAACTTACGTCACCTGTGGCGAAGGCGAGATATCCGTCTATCAATAAAAGGACGAGTATACTGCGCGGCAGTCCGTTCTGTTTTAATTTACGGCAGCGAAACATGGTCATTAAGAGTAGAAGACACTTGTAAGCTATTAGTATTCGACCACAGATGCCTTAGAGATATTGCTGGCGTCTACTGGGATGACCGGGTAAGTAATAATGAGGTTAGACTCAGGGTATTAGGAAATGATGGTAAATCAGTTGATGAGGTTATGAATCTTCATCGACTGAGATGGTTGGGCCACGTGTTACGTATGCCTGAACACCGATTACCACGACGTGCAATGCTATCCGGTATTGGAAATGGTTGGAAGAAAGTTAGGGGCGGCCAAACCAAAACGTGGCATCAGTGCTTGAAGTCACTAACTTCTATTCTGAGTCATGTTGGGAGATGCAGACTACTTGGTTGGGGTCCTCGTGACTATAGTAACCAATGGTTGGAGACTCTTAGTGACATGACTCAGAATCGATCACAATGGCGTCGGTGTATACACTCCCTGTCTTCCCTTAAACTAAGAGATTAAAATCGCTTCATATCTTTCTTTCTACGAACCAATTGTTTCTTCTTGTACTATATCTCTATATGCAATCTTTCTCTTATATATTACCTCCTTTTACCTAACCACTGTTATAAATCCGGTGTTCATCTTGTTGTGCTGATGCGGTATGGCAACCTGGACCGATGCACACATGTGCCTGGTCCTACCTTGTAGCTGACTGACTGACTGACTCATGATTTCAGTCAAAAACTTAATAATCTCCACAACCTCTATACTGATCATTATATTTCGTTAGGTTCTCATCGGCTGCTTACAACCAAATATGTATTAGAATTTTAACATAGAGATAAGAAATAGTATGGAACAATTGACATAAGTGAATGTAAAGGATTGGAATGACAAAGGTTATCAATATATGTGTGCAGTAAAAGGTCAGAGGTTATTAGGTGTTAGAATCAAGGAAACATTAAGGATGGGTGATGAAATGGTTGAGTGGAGTTCAGAGACAGATAAGATAAATTGTGTGATAATTTTAGAGGTAATAAAGGATTCATGGAACCAAAAACTGATAAGATGGGTTACGTAGTAATTGAATAGAATTTGAAGAGTTCACATAATTCAAGAGAATCAAGTAAGCGGATATGTATGAGTGAATGGGTAGTTTAAGAAATCGGTAATGGAAGAGAAATATAACAAACTAAACATTAACAAAATGAAACTAATGACCCGAAAATTGAATTACCAGGGTAGTAATAAGTTTATCATTGTCTCTTTTCAAATACATAGATCAAGTTTGAGTTTAGTTTTATCGTGATCGCTTCAGCGAAACGGAGAGAAGAAGTATTTCTTTGTCTGTTAATAATTTTAAAAGCATGAGAGATATCAGTGGTATACCCGGTGTCAAGTAAATACCGAACTATTGCACCGTTGAGAGCCCTAGTCCGTCGCAGTCTCAATTTCTTTGGAACATGATCAGAAATGCAAATATGTGCTCTTCTCTCGGTTCTTCTAATGTATGTGCTTCGGTACGTACATGTAGATCGGTAAATGAAGTTGGAGCTACTGAGAAAAGAGGAATTGTCGATTTTAGTTTGTTTTAGTGAGCAATTCGTTTCCCATACTGTAGTCAGTTTTGCCTCTCGGTAGGTCACTTTCAGCGCGGAATTTATTTTGTGAATAATTGTTCCAGTAATTTCATCTCCTTTGAAGCGTAAGTATAAGAAGCAAGTTTTCTTTTCTACTCTGTCATACTTTACCCGAGGTTTGGTATTTGCATATTCATGGATGAATTTTGCTGGATATGCATTTTCACGTAGGCACTTAGTGATGAGAGAAATTTCTTCTTCAAGGCATTCCTTTGAGTAAATTTTACGTGCGCGGTCAAAAATGTTTTAATTGTGGAGTTTTCATTTGTCGTTTTTGAGTAATCTTATTAAGTTTGTGTAGAAGTGAGCTATTCTAAAAGTGTTAAATCGGTTTGTTCTATTGAGTTTATTTATAATTAGTTGTTTTGGTAAGTTGCACTATCTTCATTTATCTTTATATTAAAGTTGATTGTTTTGTTTGATTGATCTATGCCTATGTTGTTTGATTGATCATTTTTGTCTTAGTTAATTGATTGGATCTGTATCGATATGTCTATTGATTAAAGATGGGCCTGAATTTTATACGTTTAGGAATTATCTGGCATCAGAATTCCTTTGATCCTGGTTTTCGAAACGTTTATTTAGTCAAATTTATGTCGGTGGTCGATCATGTGCATAGATATCGTTGACAACATATCGTATCTGTGTTTGTGTATACTTATATGAAGGGGGGCATCCATTTAGCCCATTTATAAATGAAATTTTGTTATCTAAGATAACAGTAAGAGCTCCGCGATCATATCACATAGCTCAGATAATTCACTAACACCAAAAGCATTCAACTAAGCTGAAAATCTTCTCTGTCATTAGTTGAATACTTCACGTCATTCTGTGTGTATATGAATACTTATCTGGAATTTCATTGAGATAATGAACCGGTCAATGTTACACCACCATTAAAAACTTGGAAGCACTGGAAAGGTCTGAGGATTGAGTCATATCACCGATAGTACCGGTATGTGGCTATATTATGACGTTTTTTATGGATAAACAACATCTCTCTCTCAAACTAAAGGAAAGGTTAAAATGAACAAAAAGCTTTACCGGGAAAAACTTTGGGGTCTCGTGACATCGATAAATACAATGCCATGTCACTGAAATAATGCATAACCCAAATATGGCCATTCACTTGACCTCACCTAAACAAGTGAACCTATGCGGTTCACTATTCGGTTATCTGGAAACCTCAAAGCAGCTTATTGATAAGTTGACCCAATCAGGCATATCAATTCAAGGCTAGATGACAAGTGATGTGTTGTGGTGGACATACACTATTGGTCGAGATTTGGTTTGACTTTCCGAGTGACATAGATATGCTTTCGGTTAAAAATTTGAATTGAGTCTTTAAAGGATATGTATCTATTTTAGTCATTGAGGTTGCATACATATTTCATTTGTGTTAGCTTACAAAAGCTGCCTACTCACTCTTGATTTCCTCACTCAAATAGCTGTTTGGGCACGTATACAGGAAACGTATATATCAGTAATGGACTCAGACGACTGCTTACACACAACGCTTTTCGTCTCGATAATGTGGATAGCATTGAACTTAAATATAGCTTAATTCTATCCTACAATATGCATAAACTTTTAACCACCGGGTCACAGATTCAAACTTATGAAAGTTTAAGATCTTGGTATAATACAAAACTTTGTGTTTAAGATGTTATTGACTATTGGGTTTGGTTAATTTCTTTTATTTGGTTCAAACAATGACTGAAATTATTTCATGTCGAGTTGTACACATATTTTGTTCATTAATTTTTTTATTTGAGCTGAAAGTCTAGAGAATAACAGATGATTTATTACCTTGAATAAAGGTGTTGTTCTTGGAGTACTGTATGTCGGAGGTCATCTAATGTCTCGGGGTGAATTAGACGCTGGACATTTAATGTCATTCCTAGCTACTACACAAACGTTACAACGTTCACTTACTCAATTATCCTTACTATATGGACAAGTAGTTCGTGGATATACGGCATTAAAACGTATTCATGATGTAAGTGAAGTGTTAGATAATTGCCGTCAGTTGATGTGTATATTTTTTGTGTAGTTTTAAATGTTAGAGAACTTGAAGCTTTAACCTTCAAGCCTTGTTACGAGTACCTGTTAACATTGATTTTCAGCATTATATGTGACTATCATTCATTAAGATAGACTACGATCACATAATATTATTGGTTGATTAAAGCTAGAAATGCGAACCATCGGATGTCAACTTGCCAGAGATATAAAGATAACTTTCTACAACGATACTTGAAGTCTTTGGTTTCGATTAGATCATAAAATTTACAAGAACTATCTCTTTCCTATCTTTGTGACGAGTGAAAATCATTCGATTATTCGATAAAACACTTAACTTCCAATCATAATGTCTTAGGTTCACAATCGTCTCCCTGCCTCCCTCGGTTTCATTTAGCTGTAGGAGTGGCTGCCACACTAAAGAAACGTGATTTATAGTTCGATTTCATCGACCTGTAATTAGGTTATCGAAATGCATTAATTTAGATTCTTTTTAAAATATCTAAAATAATAATCGTTAAGATTATTGACAAAGTGTGAATTCGTCACCACCAGTTTCTGAAATAATCAGCCAATTTCTTTATTTTATACATAACAAAAATCACTAGTTTTCTGTGAAGATCATTTTTTTTCGATGGGAAACGTTATTTGTGTTAGGTGTTTCTTAGCAATCGGTTGGAAACTTTGGATATACATTTTGGTACTGGTTGGGACTCGTTACCAAAGTATACCCTCAATCTTGATGCGATTGATGCCCACCGATGGATTCGAACACGTACCACCTAGATTCACAGTTTGAAACGTTACCACTGAAATACTAGGATTGTAGAACTGCAATATTTTACAATCGACTTGTCACTGAGCAATGACTTATGATGTCATGTCTATCTAGTTCTTAGTGCTGATCAAATTCTATCGATTAGAAGCGGTATTCTCACCACGAATTTCCATTTATTTTGCGTAGCTCTCTTATCAAGTATTACTTTACACTCACAACATGGAGCCACACTTTGATCATTCTATGGCTAACAACGGTACAACCAGGTTGATTATATCGAAAAAAGGTGAAAATGAGTTGCGAATCTCTGTCTTGTTGATTGAAAACCGACTCTCATTCCAAGGATATATATAATACTACAATTGTTGATTAGTAACCAGCCGGTTTCATATTCTTTAGTCCCTTCTGCATTGACAGTTCACAAATATACAACTAGCAATATCCTACTTGGAGTTTACAAATTACTGATCACTAACTAGTGATCAATGCCAGGTGCTGAATGTCAAATAAAAGAAATTCACCCCACAAGACAAAAGTGTTTAACTAAAAAACCTAGTTACAAACATGAAAAACAAAAGTAAAACACCACAAATAATTAAAGAGAGTATATGTAACGACAACATAAACACTAGAGAAAGGGTGCTGAGTGTGAAAAACGCTTAACTTCAAGTTTATTTCATGTACAGAAAATTGGGAACATTTACAGTATTTCGGTTGACCTTGAGCTTCTGAAAGTCTCTGGAACCATACTAAATATGGTAGCAGGACACGTAATCATCCTATCAGTAATTCGACACGTGACTCTTTACTTCCCAGATGTTACTGAGATGCTTCTATTCAACGTTGATTGGATAAAATGTTTCCCCGAGTTTTTTGGACCCTTGTGGACATTTTCGAGAAATACTTTGGGTTTCCTCAACGCCTTTCTTCTTCCAAAAACTAAGACTTCTTCCTTGGGTCTACTTGCAGCTTGATAACTGTAACTATCTTCGATGGAAGACCAACCTTATCTTCCACGTTCATTGCCCGTTTTTCTTAGTCGATTTGGCTTATGTGTCTAATCCACGTTCCAAATGTCACACGTACGTTGTAAAACAAAGTTCACTATTCTCTTTTCAATATGGAAACAAATAACTTGTTGAAATATCTAGATGGCATGATTAAGTAGTTCAGGCACTCGAGGAGGCTGCGTTGTTCTCATGTTCCAAGTATCATGAAATTATTATTATTATTATTATTATTATTATTATTACTATAATTATTGTTATTAAGATAAATATTTGTTTTAACAGATCATGATGTCAAGTGATGGCATAGCCTATTCAAGTGCGTTTGTGAAAAGTTTACGACCTTTCTCTGTACAAGTTACAAAAATGTACAATCGGAGTCATCATGGTGTCTGGCAATATTTTCTTTGAAAAAGAATGAGTATTATTCAGATGTCGACTTCTGAACTGCTAACATCTAAGTGGCGATCACTCAATATTCATCGTCAATATCGATCAAGAAATATGAAACAGAAACTTGTTGAAATACTTTGCGCTGAGAATTCTATATTGTACCAAAAATATAATATTGAGTAAAGCTAATGATAAATGCATATCTGGTAAAATGATATCATGGATCTGACCCACGTGTGATTCATTTGGAACATTCAACTTGATAGGATCGGAATTACAAACTGTCTGTATGTGTCCAACATTACTATACCTAAAATATTTAGCATTACGAAACACACAAGAATTACATGAGTGAAATTTGCCACAGGACAAACTTTTACCAAACTTGTGCTCATCTTCGTGACCTGCATCGCAACTCCTCAATGAATTATTATCTGCATAACCTTGAGCACGCATTGGATTGCAGTGGAATTCTTGATGTCCTGACGAATCATTTTGTGAAATTTTCCTCCTTTACAGCATTCGAAATTTGTGCACTTTACATGGTCTAATAATAGTCCCTTGAGTTTTGCATAAGGAAGTGAAATGAGCATTTTCTAGAAATGCCAAAGTTTTTAATAAGTTGTGGGCTTCTTTTCCGATGAATGTAAGGTAGTGAACCAAAATATTGACATCCTCAACATCTTCCTTGGTTATAGTCCAGATTTCGAACCTTTCCATATAATCCTCAAAAACATCAAAATTTGAATGTATGTTCAACTGTTCCATCACAGGCTCCATCGCGACGCCAATGTGATGATTATAAGTATTTGGATTATTATACGAACTAGGAATCCCCGAAATAACGCAATTTAAACCAAACAGAACTAGGTGAGCACAAACGAACCTATTGTATTTAGAATTCAAAATCAGGCACACATCGAGTACAAAAGAATCATTAGTTCATACAAACACCACAATTACCCTACAGGAAGTAACTGGCGAATGCCAAAGATTTAGGAATTTGAAACATGATAACCCGATGGTAGATAACGGTAGCCGGTTTTATCATGTCAACTCAGTCGAGAGAAAATACGTACAAGGTCCCAGCACGCCAAATTATCGCAATGAGAGCGGCAAGCGATTATCCCCATGCTCGTTTATAAATCATCGTTGTATTACATGTTCCAGAAAAGGGCATAAAAATTCATTGTAAAACCAGAAAACATCTTCAACAACCGAAAGTATATTCTAAAGGATTGAAACCGCGAACAGCCAAAGTCACAATAGCCTTTAACAGGACCGACTCATAAAACCGTAGAAAATATGTTTCTCTCAAGCTTGATGGATATCATGTCCCCTTACAGCTGGACACGACTTCCAACATAACACTTATAAGCAGAAGAGCATGAGAGAAGATTGGGAGACCGTAAATATATCCAACTCAACAACCAACCCACATTGCATCCAGTGGAATGTTAAACATTGCTGGCGAGATACACTGAAAAGTCACAGTCAAGGAAATAACATAGAAGGGAGTAATATTTTTGAGGAACGTCCATCACTTAACTTATTGGGAATTGACTGGATACAGAGATTGAAGTTAGCAGGTCGCCACATAAACTTGATCTGCATCAATACAACGAAGGTGGACGATAAAAACTCAGTAGATGGATTATTAAAACGATATAAAATGGTATCGAGTGATGGGCTTGGAGGATGCACTAAATCGAGAGCTACTCTTACCCTTCAACAGTGATCGAAGTCAGTATTCCGGCCTAAAAGACCTGTATCATGTGCTAGTCGAACAACTTCATAGATTGGGTGTTATTGAACCAGTGAACTTCTCAGAATGGGTTGCAACGGTAGAGTCCGCTTATGTGATGGATACTCAACCGAGCTAAATGAAGCCCTAGAAACTCATCGGTATCCCTTACCCTTGCCTGAAGATCTCTTTGCCAAGCCGAATAAAGATGTTTTTCGCAAAGTTGGATTTGCCAAAAGCATATTTAGTGTGGGGGATAAAATCGTCGCCAAGTCATACCTTGAGAAAAATCGATGGGAACCTGGAGCTATTGAAAAGAGAATAGTGAACTTTGTTTTACAACGTACGTGTGACATTTGGAACGTGGATTAGACACATAAGCCAAATCGACTAAGAAAAACGGGCAATGAACGTGGAAGATAAGGTTGGTCTTCCATCGAAGATAGTTACAGTTATCAAGCTGCAAGTAGACCCAAGGAAGAAGTCTTAGTTTTTGGAAGAAGAAAGGCGTTGAGGAAACCCAAAGTATTTCTCGAAAATGTCCACAAGGGTCCAAAAAACTCGGGGAAACATTTTATCCAATCAACGTTGAATAGAAGCATCTCAGTAACATCTGGGAAGTAAAGAGTCACGTGTCGAATTACTGATAGGATGATTACGTGTCCTGCTACCATATTTAGTATGGTTCCAGAGACTTTCAGAAGCTCAAGGTCAACCGAAATACTGTAAATGTTCCCAATTTTCTGTACATGAAATAAACTTGAAGTTAAGCGTTTTTCACACTCAGCACCCTTTCTCTAGTGTTTATGTTGTCGTTACATATACTCTCTTTAATTATTTGTGGTATTTTACTTTTGTTTTTCATGTTTGTAACTAGGTTTTTTAGTTAAACACTTTTGTCTTGTGGGGTGAATTTCTTTTATTTGACATTCAGGGTATAAAATTTGATTTTTCCAATTCTGTGGCTGCTAAACTGGTATACGTGTTTCAGTTATCGTTTCGAGTCAATATATTGTTGTTAATTTATAGTCTGTTGGATTATAATGTTTTTTATTTGGTTTCTTGTAGATATTGGCATTGCCTGACGGAATTGGTTGTATACCATCATCATCTTCATCGTTAGTGGTTAGTAAGCAACATTTGACCAACATGAAAGAATTACAATATCTTTCGTCATACTCTGCACCAAGTATAGAATTTTCCGATGTCAAATTTGCTTATCCGAATCGTCCGGAAACCATTGTATTAAATGAATTGTCAATGTTTTTACCAGGTGGTAAAGTGATCGCTCTGGTTGGTCAGTCTGGTGCAGGTAAGTAGTATTATTTGTAATCTTTTTTTATATGTGTACTCCAAGCACCTACCACTGCTCCTAGTCATAGTCGTCTAACATAATTTGTTGTTAGATTTGTAGAGCTGTTTGCTCGACTCGATTGTAAGCTACATTACATAGGCTGACTACGACTAACCAACAACTGAGGAAGTACTGTACAGCTGTCTCAACTTATCGGGGGAAATCTTATAAGGCGTCACATACACAGCCCCACCAGGTGTCGTACCCTAAATGATCTTCGTTTTTATTTGATTTCTTGTACAATTCAAATGCATCGTGTTAATAGAAAACCTTCGTCCAGTCTGTTTACCATATTATCGATGCTGGTTCCTACTTGAAAAGTAATTAGATAATAGATCATTAAGTTATGGCTACTTCACAGTGTCCAGTTATAATCTGTCTGAAAATGAAAGTCCTTAAGCTCATAAATTTTTGGTTAACCTGCTTTGATATGTGGGAAGCAGTCTAGCTAAGAATTAACTCAACCAACACAACATCTTTCCTGACATTTTCATCTTCACAAAGTTCTTGAGAATATTGAACAATTCTCGATAACCTGCATAGATTAGTATGAGGATTTGTGGAGATTGTAGTAACTTCAACAGTTGGGGAGCCGTAACTAGTGGAGTCCAATCTGTGTTAGATGTGAGACAGTTATCCGCCTCAGATAGCTTAGATTGACTCATGAATTCAACCGTTGAAATCTACATTTTGAAAACATGAGAGTTGAATCTCTGAAGGTCCTAAGAGTAACAGGTATACTAATACTTTCTCTGGTCAGCAATTATTATAAGATTGGATCTCCCTACATTGATCTATTACTTTGTGAATTAAAAGTTCCATGTCAAATCCTTGGGAAGAATTGTTCTTCGAAATATACCAACCTAGAATGATTTCGGCACTTCCAAACAGCATTATAGTCCTCAAAATTTTTAAGTATCTGGTTTCAACAAAAACAAGGAAACAACTGAAGTAGTATGATACTGTCTGGCTGTTAAATTTTTCAGGTAGAATGATTAGTTGTCACTATGTATTGTCCCTCCCCCTCTATCTTTCTCACAGGTAAATCTACTGTTGTCTCTTTACTGGAACGTTTCTATGATCCAATATCTGGAGAAATTTTATTAAATAATTGTAAACTAACTAATTTCAATGTGAATTATTTACGTAGTAAATTAATTGGATATATTAGTCAAGAACCTCAAATATTCAATGCATCAATAAGAGAGAATATACGATTTGGTCGTTTTGATGCTACTGATGAAGAGGTATAAAATTGATAATGATGATGATGATCATCATCATCATCATCATTATGATTTAAATTTTTGTGTATTTTTCTTTAGACTGAAGATCATGATTGTCTACATAATGGCCTCCAAATGCCCTAGTACGGTCGAGGGTGGGGGAGAGTCAGCTCTCCCTATGCAGATGTTCTCATGTGACCACGCATATACGGCCTCTGCCAGGAAAGTCCTACACATTGTCTTCTCGCGATGGGGGTGTTGTTTACGAAATCGAAAGGACGAAAAGCGAGTGTCCGGCGCTTGGACCGGGTTAGTGGACACGGACGATCCACCTAGGAGGGCTGCAAAACTCTGATGCATATGAGCTCCAGGTTCCTGATGGAACTTATGGCATATGATCCTATTGTTTGTTCTCGGCTACCACGGGAATGCATCTCCTACTATTGCTCCACTACGTTGTGGATTAGACCTCTAGGTCAGATGCTCGAGAAGTGGCCTCTTAAGAAAACACCCTACTTAGGTTTGGGCATCCGAACAGTATTTCAGTCCTCATAAAAATCAGACGATGAAAGGTGGTGCATACATATTTGGTGCCTCCTTGTACCAATATTTATGTGCTTAAATAAATAAAGCATAGTGGACCGGAACGTTACTACTGAGACATTAAATCTAATTCGTCTAATATATAAAGGTAGCTTAATAAATGAAAGTAATCAACTAACATTAAATGTTTAGATAAACATGAAGTCAGTCACTACTCAGTGGTGATCAATCAATTGTAAATTTCTCAGTTCTACAAGAGGTCAGTAACAACCCGAATAGCTCAGTGGTAATGTTTCAATTTTTTTCTGGTTAGCGTTGGCCGGACACTATTAGCAACAACGTACTGTGGGAGAGAACAAACCAGATCCCAGCGGAGGAAGAAATCAGGAAGAAGCGCTGGAAGTGGATAGAACACACGTCGAGGAAAGCACCCAACTGCGTCACAAGACAAGGTCTCATATGGAATCCTCAAGGCCAAAGGAAAAGAGGAAGACCAAAGAACACATTACGCCGGGAAATGAAAATAGACATGAGAAAAATGAACAAGAACTGGATGGAACTAGAAAAGAAGGCCTAGGACAGAGTGGGCTGGAGAATGCTGGTCGGCGGCCTATGCTCCATTGGGAGTAACAGGCTTAAGTAAGTAAGTAATGCTTCAAATTGTGAAATGGTGGAGATTTGTAGCCTACATGAACATCAATTGGCAGTCAAACGCCATGATACTTCCTCACTTATATCAATACACGTGGACAACTACGGACACTCATTTGATTGAAAAAATGTGGAAATCTTGGACAAAGGAAATTCCAAAAACACCAGAGAAGTTTTAGAAGCCTGGCGCTCAGGTCAATCAGCAATCAACAAACACATTGAAATCGACCCAATTTATCAATAAACCAGGAAATTTATGCACAAATATAGAAACAAAAATCAAACCAATGGGAGACAAAACCAAAACAAAGAAGTAAACAATGACAAATTTAAGGTCAATAAGAACCAATCAACGTCGAGGTGTACAGAACAAGCTGTGAAACGCATATGGAAAAATTCTAACACTTCACTTCTATTTGAACTTTGTGCTGATGATGTCGTTCAGAAGAATGATGAAAGTTCCACGACCAAACCATCCAGCTAAGAGAACAAAACTCCATCAAAATCAAATTGTGAAGTTGCATAATGTAGGTTGAGACTTCATGAAGAGAATCAGTTTCTCTCAAGATTACAGGTGTACCTTGTTAATAAATGCTGACTAGTATGGGACTCATATGCAGAATTTCCTGTAGATCACCTTCAAGCACTTCTATCTTAGTTGAGAAAAAAATTGGTTATTCTTCATTTTAGTCTGCAAAACTCCAGTGTTATGTCAATCTTTTCAAACAGATCTTAAATAAACTTTGAAATTTTACCTCATGTTTAAATCCCTTGTGTTCAAACTAGTAGTCTACAGTCCACTACTTAGCAAACAATTAGGCGACATTTTTCAGTTAAGAAAGTTAATCTTATCTTTACATAACGAATATATTAGAAAATAATAGCTGTAATTATTTTGCTGTTTAATCAGACATTTCAAGTATATTATTATCATTATTTGAGTTTTAAGTTATCATTGAATTGAGTACAATAGACAACTGATATACTTTCTATTTTGATCATTTGATTGACGACTGCTGGATGCCAAATGCTTTCACATGGTCACGCGTATATAGCCTCTACCAGGGAAGTTCTACTCATTGCCTTATCGTGGCGGGGGTGTTGTTTATGAAATTGAGAGGACGAAATGCGAATGTCCGGCGCTTTAACCGGGTTGGTGAACATGGAGAGTCCACTTAGGGGAGTTGGAAAACCCTCATTTCAATCCAATGGCGCACATGGGTTCCAGTATCCCAAAGGAACAAATGGCGTATGAATCAATCGTTGGTCACCGGCTACCGTGGTATTGCATCTCTTGATGTTGATTCATTGCCTTATGGATTAGATCTTTAGGTCAAAGGCTTAGGGTGTGAGGCCCCTAAGAAAGCCATCTGCTTCGGTTTGGGCATTCAAGCAGTATCATAGCCCACACACAAATCAAGTGACGTGTGGGGTGCATATGTATTTGGTGCCTCTTTGTACCAATATCTATGTGTTAAAATAAATAAATAATTAATTACCACTGCTGGATCAGAAGGAGCTTAAGGATCAATAAACGTTGAGATCGTAATCATTATTCACTGATCGGTATATCAATTGGTACTTGGAAGATCATCAGCCATATTGGTAATACATGTAGACTAGTCTATAATCGGACCATAGAGAGAAAGAGATTATACCACTGCTTTCCTATCACTATGTCCCGACCATATGAGACCCAGTACAACTCAACGGAACAATCTAGATTCTCTTCTTGTAACTCTTAATGTTGACACTCTCCCCATTCTTGTTCAACTTTGTGGTCGACGTACTTTTAGAGATAACACTCTCCTCATCTAAATTTCCGGGGGTTGAACTTCTACCGGGAGGTTCACTTGTTGACTTAGAATATGCAGATGACATAGTCCTATTTGGTGAAGACGATGAGAAAATGCAGAGTCTTCTGATCACTCTAAGCAACAATGCAAGCATGTTCGGCATGCGATTCTCTCCCTCGAAATGCAAAATGTTGCTTCAGGATTGGATTACATCGACACCCCAACTAGTGATAGGGAGTGAAGTAGTTGAGTGTGTCGACCGCTTCACTTATCTTGGAAGTCTCATCAGCCCTTGTGGTTTGGTGTGTGACGAAATCTCAGCACGGATACAGAGGGCTCGACTAGCTTTTGCCAACTTGCGTCATTTATGGCGTAGGCGAGATATCCGTCTACCAACCAAAGGACGTGTTTACTGCGCAGCAGTTCGTTCCGTCCTACTTTATGGAAGTGAAACATGGCCGGTAAGAGTAGAGGATATTCGTAGGTTACTAGTATTTGATCATAGGTGTCTTCGAAGTATTGCTCGTATATCCTGGGACCACCGAGTAAGTAACGCAGCTGTTAGGAAACGGGTACTAGGTAAGGATGGCAAATCAATTGATGAAGTAGTGAAACTTCATCAGTTGAGATGGCTGGGACATGTGTTACGTATGCCCAACCACCGACTACCTCGACGTGCTATATTCAGTGGTATAGGAGTAGGTTGGAAGAAAGCTAGGGGCGGCCAAACCAAAACATGGCACAAATCCATGAAGTCACTGACAAGTGGACTGGGTCATGTTGGTAGGTGTAGACTACCTGGTTGGGGACCGCGAGATGATAGCAACCGATGGTTAGAGACCCTGAATGACATGGCTCAAAATCGTTTGCAATGGCGCAGGTGCATCCACTCTCTATGTTCTCCCAAATTCTAATCTTCTGAATTCTTCATGTCCCTTTTTTCCTCTTTCCAAATTTATTTCACTGGATTATACGCGTTAAATAACATCTCCAAACCCTAATCTTCCCGATTACTGCTTATACTCTTGCTACCTCTACCACTACGGGATTTGAATCGACCACTGCATCTCTGTGCTAATGTGGTATGGCAACTCGAACTGATGTACGTACGTACGGAGTTCTACGTTGTTACTGACTGACTGACTGACTGACACTTCAATAATGTTCGTTTATACACGATTAAACAATTCTCTTAATCTTACTACAATAATTTCAATTCATTGTATTTATAACTGATAATTAGTGTTGTTTTGGAAAATTTACTTTTATATTGTAAGGTTGAAGAGGCAGCTAAATTAGCTTATGCTCATGAATTCATTTCAAATGATTTACCATATGGTTATGATACACCAGTTGGTCAAGGTACTGGTACGACAGCTGGTTTAAGTGGTGGTCAACGTCAACGAATTGCAATAGCACGTATCTTATTGAAAAATGCACCAATTCTATTAATGGATGAAGCTACATCAGCTTTAGATACTGAATCTGAAGCCAAAGTACAAAATGCATTAAATAATGCAATGAAAGGTTAGTCAATTAATTAATTGAGTTATTAATTAATTAATCAATTCTATTGGGTTAGTTATTTTTTCAACTGTACAAATCTTATGCTAAATAACATTCTGATGGAATGTAGCGATTATTATGGAAACATTTTTTGTAATTATCATACAAAATGAATGTTGGCTAGCAGTGAAATCAAGGACGGACGTTTGATCCTATTTGGGATCCTTTAGTTGGATGTACCTGTATCTTAAATAGGAAGACACGCGTATCCTGATTTCCACTGCTAGGTATTATCCACCTCGGCTTATCATCCTCGTGACGTAATGGCATAATCCAGACAATCTTCATAAGATGCTCAAAAGAGGCTGATCAGTTGTAGGCCTAAACAACATTGGATAGACTTAACACAACCAATGCAAATGTAACATACAAAGTTTTATTGTTTGTATTTTTGTTGCATAATTAGTAGACGCTTGTACTGTTGTATTTTGATATTCTTCTATTTGCAGACTTTCGTTTAGTCTATGATTATTCCCCTATTACTCGTATTTTATATGACTTATGACTGAGTTATTTACACATTTTAGGTTTCTGATTCGGCTACTATGTGATCAGACATTTCAAGTATATTACTGTATGAGTTTTGAGTTATGACTAAATTAAGTAGTGGAGAACTGATGTTTCCAATCTTCATCTTCGGATTGGATTACTGGGTTGGAAGGAGCTCGCGGACCAATAGGCAGGCGTTAAAGTCTTATTTATTGGTCAATGTGTTAACTGGTTAATATATGGTTACCGGTCCTACCGGAAATATAGGTCGACTAGTCGAACTAGAGATTGAGAGTACAACTACACAACTACATTCCCGTTATCAAGAGCCGACTGTACAGGCCACGATACAGAGTTGCCAAATATCTTAAACTTAGAGAGGCAAGATTTCGCAAACCTGGATAAGAATCGCTCTCACCAACGCGTTTTAGAACCATTCTTTAACAGTCAAGCTAACATCACAACAACGTCAAAGGTGACCCAGATTAGTAAAAGCCCCTCTGGCTTTCACTACGCGTAGATTGATCTCATCAGTCACACCATCAATGCTCACACAACGACTTAGATACACAAAAGTTATTTCTTTATTTTTATTCGCTTTTTTTCGCAGGTCGTACAGTTCTAATTATTGCTCATCGATTAAGTACAGTACGTAAAGCTGATCTAATTCTAGTTATGTCTAGAGGGCAAATAGTTGAGGTGAGTTTGAATTATTACTTATCATAAACATGGTTACGTAAATGTTACTTTGTTGTTTTTGCCTATGATTAATGCTGTTTTTTGTTAAGAAAATAAGAGTGAAACAATTAATGTTTTTATAAAAACGGATAGTGATTCGAGTGTTTTTCTGTTTGGTTTTTTGGTTTGAAAGCTGAATATTATGATCAATCATTAAAAATTAGAATCTTCCTAGTTGTAGTCATATTCGGGGTTGAATAAAAAACCAATCACTTTTGTAATTTAGGCTCCATGAACAGATGAGTCAATATTCATCAGTTACTTACTTACACCTGTTACTCTTCATAGAGGAGCATAGGCTGCCCAACAGCACTCTCCACCCAACCCTGTCCTGTACAGTCATTTCTAGTTCTTTCCAGTTGTTATTCACCCTTTTCATATCTGCTTCTATTTCCCAACGTAATGTGTTCTTTGGCCTTCCTCTTTTCCGCTTCTCTTCAGGATTCCAAGTTAGAGCTTGCTTCGGGATGCAGTTTGGTATTCACCAGTAGTTATGAATTTATTATGTTCTAAAATAGTAGTGTCTAACCAAGAAATCGATAATACTACACATCTAATTAGTTAGTGCTCGTGCATTGAGACTCGAACCCAATACCTAAAGACTATCCATTAAAATATTAAACATTAATTGGATTATACTATTAGGCATTAATCAACACAAACAATAGAAATCTGATAAAACTTTTAATTTCGATAGGTTGTAATGTATCTTCTCAAGGGGCCTACATGACAACAAAGCGAGGAAGTGGATAAGGCCATGGCGTTTAAAGCGAACAGTACTGAGTTCGAGTCTCGGAGTGAATATCAACTCCGGGATGCAGGTTCGTTCAGCTGATGAGTCCCAAATAGAACGAAACATGCGTCTTGGATTCCACTGCTAGCCACCATTCATCTCTGCTCATAGTAAAGTAAATAGTTCGAAAAATATTATGCTTCATCGACAAACTCAACGGTTACGTAAATATATGAATTTCACGTAGTTATGAAACCACTAAACTATTTCAGATTTTACCCTAGATTCGTTTTGTAACAATTTTGAATTAGAAATTAACTCGTTTAATTAATTTGGTCAACAGTTTATTATTGTCAGTAATTGGATGGACCAGATATTGTCGTACAACTATCTGTAAACTGTAACCAGTGTAGAACCTTGCAAAAATGTACAAACGAAATGAAATTAACATGATATATAGCTAAGGGGTCGAAATTACTGTAGTAGTAGTGATAGCAAAGAAAACAACATCGAGATTGTATTTAAAGAAGATGGAATGAAGAGTTACGGAGGTGCAGAAACCTAATATGCAGAAGAATATCAAGAATGAATGTAATATGCACTACTGGGATTGGTTCTGAGCCATGCCACCCAACATATTCAACCACTGATGCAATTATCATGTAGACTTCAACCGGATAGTCTGAACCTAGCAACCTAGTTTACATCATTAGTCAATGATTTGATGAACTGATGGTAAGTGTTCTTTTTAAAAAGAATCCTACAACCATCATTACAAGTTGCAAAGTATGCGTAGATCAGACACCATGCAATGATTGACTTCCGTGATTAAATGCCGCAAGACTAAACATAATTATATTTCAGTTTGTCTTCTGAAATGATGTGATTAATGTGTGGCAAATTACAAAAACCGACTCACAAATATTGATTTATTGACATAGTATGAAAGTAGACCCTTTCATCTAGTTCCTCTTGTATTGATGTAAGATGTGACAAATTAGACCCCGTAACAATTTAGTGTTAAGTTTTATATTGATAATAGCTGATCAATTGATTGATAGTAGAATATATCACTTCTGTTATTGTTAGTTGTATACCGTGTATTGATGGTTAAACAGAGTGTAGATATAGATATTACTAACGTTTTCTATTTCATATTTATTGTAACAGAGCAAAGCATATTCATATTGTGTTGTGGTTATTGTCCTTTTTTTATAGAAGGGAACTCATTCAGAATTAATGGCTAATCATGGTTACTATTATAATCTTGTACAGAGACAAGAAGGTTGTGATGTATTCGAGTAGATAATTTAGTAATTTTTTCTCATTTTGTTTTTATTTCCCCTCCCCCTTTCTTTTGTATGCTCCCTTGAATTTTTCTTGAAAATATATTATTTCTTTGAACAACTCGAAGATCGCAGGTTTTGTTTCTCACTCACTCACTCACTCACTCACTCACTCACTCACTCACTCACTCACTCACTCACTCACTCACTCACTCACTCACTCACTCACTCACTCACTCACTCACTCACTCACTCACTCACTCACACTTTCTCTCTTGTTCTACAATCCATCTCTTGTGAATAGTGTTCGTTTAGTAGTTAACTACTATTTGTATGTGTGTATGCTTCTCGATTATATTTCGTGATATGACAACGTGGGTTCGATCGATCTACATCTATACCTAGTCTTTCGTTGTTTATAATTGATTAGCTGATTTATTAATTGTATCAAACTTCTCGCTAGGAAATAGTCGATGTATTTAGAGATCAAAATCATCAAAATCCATCCCTATCATCTCAGTATTTAAAGATTATTCTATCTGCATCAACGCAGAAACACCTAGACAAATAGTGCCGTTATGTAGCCATACAAATTTGTTAACGATTTAGTATTTGTGGACGTATGCAATGTGTTATTGTGTTGTGAAGGTAATTTTCACCATCGACCATTGATATTAACTGAAAAAGCAAAGAATATCGGATAATTGTTTCGTCTTAATCTAAGACTTTTTCCATCAACGCAAATTGAATCCTAGGGACCTTAATGCCAGTGAAAATGAACACATTACTGTTAGTTACCGGACTCAAACAGTTTTTCAACATTTCTTAAGTTCGATCAATTTGCAATGTATAGAACAATCATTCATCAATGTTGTTCATCGACAATATTGGCTATGAAATAATCAGCTAGAAAAGGGGCCAATTTTGGACCCAACGCTACTCCATCAGTTTGTCTATATTACTGATTAGAAAATCTAAATTGCATATTCAAAGTGTATCAAAAAAGTAATTCCTTCAGATAACGTTTCAGAACACATAGACCATTGTTACCATTTTTTAATATAACCACATAGATAACATATTGTCACCATTAGGTGAATTTCTGTAAAGTGTGACGTTGTAGCTGACTGACTGACTGTGACGTAATATCTGTTAATATCTTTACGGTTACATTTATGTTTATAACTGAATCAACGAAACAAAATGAATCGTGCATATTGTACTTATTGAGGTAATTTCTAATAAGTATTGTATTTTTTATTCATAAACAGCGTAGGACTTGGTACATTTATGTATAATTTCAAGTTATCACATCGTATATCCCCAACAGGATGAAATTATCAAGACAAATACAAGAGTAGTAGAAGTAATAATAGTATCAGTGGTAGCATGAAACGTTAGACACAGTCAATATGATTCGAGAAAAAGGTATATATTTGTGGAAAGGAATGAAATAATTTCAAAATCCAAGATCTAAGAGAAGACAGAGTGAATCCTTTCATTCTATTCTAAGTCAACTCACACAATGTCACCAACTATTCGTTACGATAATCAAGATGACCTCAAACAGATAGTCTGTATATTAGTAATTCACCCATCAAGATTTATAATCTCATAAATATAAGTTGATTTATATTTTAGGTCATTACATCTGTAGAACAATTTGAATACGAGTAGCTCAATTTCATAGATTTGAATGTTGACCCATCGGATTGGAAAAATTGCAAAGTTTGTATCACGTACATTTTAATTAAATAAGAGAAAATAAGCGAAGACGAAGTCACATTCGAATTTGGAAGAAAATGAATCTCCATCCTTGTAATAATTAATTATTAAATTGATTAGTTTTACACATTTCAATGCGATCTTGGGTTCGAATCCCATGAGCGGGGTCGTGGATGCACACTGCTGAGAATTCTCGTACTTGGACGAAACGGCTGTCTAGTGCTTCTAGGTTTTCCATGACAGTCTAGCTTTAATTGACTCATGAATTCGAACTTTTAAAGGTATCTAAATTTTTGTAGAAAATTAGATGTACTTTAAGAATAAAAATCTTGAGTAGCTTAGAGGTATTAGTCACATTATCAAAGTACAACCAAATCATACAAATAGCCTTTGAATAAACACAAGAACTAATTTACAGAATTTACTATCAAAAAATCGAACGGTATGGTCTTAATGGTTAGAGTAGTTAATTTACAGCCACTAGGTACAGGGTTCCAACCTAACTTCACCGACTTTGGTTTATACAGGTAATTGGTATGATTAGTCTTTAGGAAGTAGTTTTAACTCGAAAGCAAGTACTTCAAACCACAGTTTATGAATTCATTGTTGGGCTCCAATGATTTGCTTGTGTTATCCCATGGCTGGATGAATCAAATACGAATCACAAGTTCAATTTGTGGGACAATTATACAAGAAAAATGAATATACATACATCTATGAAAAGTTAAGATAAAACAAATTTAAACGAAATTAGAGTTGAAAAACAACCATCGCAACAATTCGGTAAAACATGTAATGTCCATGACGCTAAAACAATTAGTAGTATAATTCGTGCTACTTGTTATTTGTAAGTAGTTCTAGATGCCAAGATGCAAAACGTCAAATCAAACCAACCCTGCAGATCACACATGGATGTTCTGTTGTTTTTGTTTCAAGAAAAAGAAATAACCAAAACATTTACAACCTAAACTAAATACTCCCTGGTTTCTCCAAGTTAGTTTTTCGCTGATTTTTTTTACAATCTGAATATTACTACAAAAGCTAATGATATTCAACATATATCCTGATGACTATCATAAACATTGGATTAGCCTCCTTATGAAAATTTACTCCCACATCTCAAATTAATGAGACAACTCTAAGTTAATCGTTTCCATGACCAGAGTATTGCCTCTAACCTTATGTACTTTATGCTACTTCAATTTCCTTCATGGACTGCGTTTTGTTGAATGAATCTGGTATTCACCAATCAAGGATCATGAGATAGTTTATTGGAATTTTTTTTGGAGTAGTTGACCCGTTAAACTGTTTTCCTTAGTTCTGTACATTTTTCTTGAAATCTTACTGATTTATGTATAATTCTTCAATAGACTCTTTCTCTGGCAAACGGATTCTTACTGTTGATGACTTTAATATTTCGGATACATCTGGTATTTCCATGATAGAGAATTCTGATCACGTAATTTATTGATACTTGTTAGAACGTAACATTTTTGTGGATATTGAATAAATCAGTAAACGATTCTGTCTAATAGTCAGTTTGATATAAGTAGATTATGAGTACGAGCTAATCAGATTTGAGAAAATTAATTCAAAATCGTATGACTTTTATTGTATAAAAATATGCGATACATAACACTTAAGTCAATCAGTTCTTCTTTCAATTTACCCAGCTGGTGAAATAGGAATGTTAAAATATAGATAACGATTTTTACGTATCACTTCTTAATGTCGATAAGACAACAAAAGTCAGTCAGGTACAATGTAGGACCAGGCATATATGTTCATCCGTCCCAGTTACCATACCTCACTCATTAGCACAACAAAATGAACACCAAATTCATAGAAGTGGTTAATTCAATGGTAGTAATACATGGAAGAAAGATTGTATAATAAGATATAGTACAGGAAGAAAGAATTAGTTAGTAGAAAGAAAGATATGAAGCAATCATAATCTCATAGTTTAAGGGAAGACAGAGAGTGTATACACCTACACCATTGTGATCGATTCCGAGCCATATCACCCAGAGTCTCCAACCATTGGTTACGATAGTCATAAAAACCCCAATCAAGTAATCTGCTCTGTTACTACCTCTACCACTACGGGATTTGAATCGACAACGGCATCTCTGTGTTAATATGGTATGGCAACTCGAACTGATGTACGTACGTACGAAGTTCTACGTTGTTACTGACTGACTGACTGAATCTACCAGCATGGCTAGGACTAGAAGTTAATGACTTCAAGCACTGATGTCACGTTTTGGTTTGGCCAACTTTCAATCGTCTCCAACACTAGTCAGCATTGCGCGTCGTGGTAAACAGTGTTCAAGCATACCTAACATATGGCCCAACCATAGCCAACAAATATGGTTTCCTGGTAATTTAATCTCTATTATGTTTATTAATAAATATTATGTAGGCAATAACGAATTCCTTAGGGAACTATATGTAGCTGTGAGAAAGATTCAGACAGAAATATTTACTTAGAATAAATATGCGAGGTTATATGATGATATTTCGACGGTATTAAGATTAGTACACTGATGGTAAGCATTGAAAAAAATTAAAACTCTTTGAAATGCTGTTCAGATTCCAACAGATCTCATTACTTCTGTCATTAGTAACTTTTGATTTATACTCTGTTTGCTCATTGGCTGAAATGGAGATTCTGAATCATTTGGTCATTTTAAGAAATGCTCAAGCTCGTCTCTAACTATGCTTTTAACATTGGTTAATCTTGGTCCGAGAATCTTCATTAGTGTACGCCTATGACTTGGCATAAAATTGAGTTCCAAGGCATCAGATCCTACATTGTGTACAGCATTTTTTTTGGTATCTGGGTAACAATACAAGGATTCAACTTCTGAATTCAAGTCAGTTTGCTTTTCAAACTATTCAGTTAACTTATTTAGCAGATAGTGTCATTCGAACAGCAATAGTTTGCCTACATCTTTGTATTATTATTATTATCATGTCTTTATGAACGTGTATGCTTGACTACGAGTTACAGCCTACATACACCCCTCTTCATAGCTTGAACATTAATAGCTTAAACCGCTCGGTGACTCATTCGCCTTCCAATATATATGTGCTTTAATCTTATCAATTCATTTGACTTTTTATTCGCCTCTGTAATTACTTGCTCAGATTCAATTGCATTTGTATTTCTGCTCGTATTCGCTTTGTGTGCCCATGGCTTAGTGATGTGTTGTACAATAATAAACTGTAGTTAACACTTCGTTTTGTCTTCTGAAGTTTATATACTGTTGAGACTTATGACGATTACCAGGACGATTGATGTATGAAAGTTTAAGAATAGGCTCGAAGATAATCCACCATATCTATAATCATATTTATGACTTCTTCAACTCTATAAATCACATCCTTTATGAGATCTAT